TTTTTCTTTCGATTTCAAATGAATTTATCTATAAATTTAGGTTGGTAATTATTGAAACGCAAAGTATTCTTGATGTGTCTAATTACCCGTTGCAGATTTCTTGTCCTACTAGTAAGCTTTTTGCCTTACTACTTAAGCAATAAACTGAAATGGGGTGCATTAATTTGGAGTTTAAGTAGCGATTCGAGTGGGAAGGTTTCCTACTGACACTAGTCTCTAAACTTGCATCTCATTTCGTTTAATCTAGCAATCCAACATTGCAAGCTCACCTTTATCACTTTCTACTTCATAGTAGATTGGATTGTATTCACTACTGAATATATACTTGTCAAGAACCTATTGATGTGTTCCAATTTCAGTACCGTGTGTCATATAATCATGGGAACCATATGAAAGAAATAGTTCCAGCAGGTTATCCAGTAAATAATAAAGTTTCATTACGTGACAACTGTAAACCATGAGGAGTCAGAAGAGGGGCATACGCTGGCTGGACCGATGAAAAGACCCTAGAAGATTTCGATTTCGCCGCCGATGATGATTTATCTCAAATGTCAAAATGACAAAAACCAACAAGTCGACAGAAGAGGTGAGGCAGCGAAGACGGGACACCTTTCACCTGAACGTAGAGAAGACAGAGGTGATGAAGATACCCAAACAACAACAACAACAATAACGAGCACCAGAGGCCATCGACGAGGAAAATCTACAGGAAGTTGTCTCTTTCACCTACCTAGGCAGGATAGCATCGTTTCAATTACAGGTGGCACAGGTGAGGACGGCAAAGCCGGATCGGAAAAGCAAGACAGGCCTTCATTAATCTGAAACTAGTGTGGAGATCTACTGCACAACATCCGGATTTTAAACAATCATGTCAGTCAGGTAAGTCAGTGCTTCTGTGTGATGGTTCAGAAACTTGGCACGTCACAAAAAGCATTTCCAACAAACTGCAGACATTCATCAACAGCTGGTGCCTATGCTCACTCGATACTGAAGGTCAGGTGGACATCACGCTCCAGGCTAGGTCCTCGAGTGGAACTTATAGGGGAAACGAGGAGTTGGGTTTCCGAGGGAGACATGGAGGAGATCATGTGAGGAAGAAATGAAAGCTTGTGGGCAGTCGTGGAGTCAGGTTGAGAAGACTGAAGAGAACAGAGTGCAACGGAGGCGTGCTACTGAAGCCCTATGTTCCACTAGGAACCCAAGGGAAAAATAATAATAATAATGTGACAACTGTAATAAACAGACTAAAAGGGCGTCTCACACGGATTTCCATTTTGTGTTTAATTTCAGATAAGTCATTTTGTCACTGTATCACAGTAATTTCAAGAATCATTTTCTACACCCTCAAAGTAAACAAATATACTACCGAAAAGCCCGATGCCAATTCATCATCCAACTGTTTACTTCCGAAATATAAGCAAAGACCTGTGAAGGCTAACATATAATGTGCACATACAGATGGCGTTATAAACCTTTCAGAGGAAACTGACAAACATGAGGATGCAAATTGAATTCATCAAGAGCTAGTAATCGTTAGGATTAAAAAATGTCCGTGACACATAAGTATCAATTAAGACCACTCCTATTGGAATCAGGTTTTAGAAAATACTAATAACTGATTTTTCTACGTTTTATTGTCAAAATGCATACAAGCTTGAAGTGGCAGAATATTTTCTTTTCTTTAAGTGATTACGTTGCATGTATGTGTGTGGTACTGGTTGATCAGAAAGCGATTGGTAATAAACAATTTCTTAAAAGATTTTCTTCCTAAATGATTAAGGGTCGTCCAATTGCAATTTAGCTGTCATAAGTGTTATACACTTTTCCAACTTCTATGGTAATGATTTGATGCTACAACTTAGTAAAAGTTTATTACTGAAGAAAGACAGAAGGAGGACGAATTCAGATGAAATCCATAAAAGTAGGATATTTAATTCAGTGTACATCCGATTTTCTATGCCTTCGTCATTCTTTGATTTTTGCAGATACCTAGAAGTGCCATTGTTAGTTCTATAAACTGGAAAAGTCTTTATACTTCTGTATATGTATTAATCTTTGATACTTTTGACAGACAGAGTCACTTCAAATATGAATTTTCAACAAAATAATGAAAAGTTGCTATGTATGAGCACACCAGCTGTGATGTTATGAAAATTACTCGTTGTGAACATTGACAGTTAGCTATAAATTAGGAACAATTGGCTGAATTTGGAAAATACTGACCAATAGAGTTTGATGCAGTAGATCAATGGTAATATGTCTTTTATTAGACTCTAAAGTACCGAATTAGAGTTGATGCACATAGTCAACTAGCTTCAAAATAAAGTGAACAAGCTAAGTCATTTTTAGATATAAATGGTTCTTGAAAGAAATTTGTTGCTCAATTACATAAGTACCAGTCTGTAAGCTAACGATTATCTCAGGTGCTCTCACTAATAATCAATACACCGCTCCTCCTCTTAAATTCAGCGAAGTTGGAGCAAAAAGAAAATATTCGACTGGGTAGCTGCCACTATGCAACCAATGAAGTGAAAGTCATTTATCGCTCATTTACAAGGTATCCAAGTAAAATATCTCAGAATTTGAAGTGAGTACCGTACCGACCACGCATGACCTACCAGTTCGAATCCAATCACAACCCCAGCTTTCTTCTTAACTTCAATCGCCAACGCTTCACTTCATAACTTGAAAAAGATAGAGTGTACTACTACTACTATTAACGATAATATGTACGTCACAAGTTGATTTGAGTTTCTATTGGATAAAAACTGCCAGTCAAAAAAAAGTTAAAGATTCCTGTATAGTTCTAACGGATAGAAAAGATTATATATTGATGATGTCAGAGCTTTTTTAAGATGACGGCAGGTTCTCCAAGTCAAAAACCAAAAAGAATAGAACAGAGACAAATGAATATCAACAGGCTAAAACTTTAAAAAAGAATGAAAATTAAACCGCTGATCAGCCCTGAGCTGTATGAAAGATTGAGACCTTCCAGATCAAATATTCCACGTCGATACAAAGTACACAAAACCCGAAAACTTAACATGGCGTAACATCCAGTTCTGGATATGTATATCTAGCTCATCTCATCATTCAATTGCAAAATGGTTATCTTAACTTCTAGAATCCATCAGAAGGAAAATTTCTAACTATTCTCTACGATTTTGCGAATTTCATACGCAACATGAATGTTTTGGATTATGCTATATAATCATTTGATGTTACTTCCCTGTTCAGAAATGCTTCAATAGTTGAAACAGTTTCCTTCATATGTGACTGCATTTACTCAAATACAGTTAACAAAATACCTGAAAGAAATATTCAGTTCAGCTTCAATAACACCTACTGACAAAACAATGGGGATAGTAATGAGGTTTCCATTAGGTCCATTATATATATAATGTCCATACTAGAAACAGATATGCTCAATTAAGAAATTAAGCAATTAATATTCTACAAAACAAAATCTTGATGATTCATTCATCGTTTGTGACACGATTTTTAACCTGAAAAATTTATTCCAGTTTTTTGATAAGTCTCACTGCTTGACCAACTTTACCATGGAAATAAAATCATACTTAAAAATACTAATCCTGACGAATCGTTTACACGAAAAGATGATATGATATTTGAAAGATTCATCTATCGAAAATAGAAGTAGAATAGACAAATGACGAACTTTCAAAGCTAAGTTTCCATCAACCCCAAAAAACCTTAATCGATTCCCTTTCCTCTCAAATCGATAGGATTTATACCCAAGTCTCTTTGGAAGACTAAATTCAAACCATAAGATCAACGTTCGTCTGGAATGAATATCCAAAAAGATTAATTTACAAATATGTGCACCAGAATGTCACCCTCAGTCAGTCACCTATCAATGTCAAAAGAAATCTGTTCAAATTAGGACGTAGCAGATGAAGTACCATGGCGCAAACTAGTTAAGGCTACTAAAGGACCATTAAATGCAGTCATTCAGCAAATCACACGTACTAGTCAATCAATGGTGAGTTCGAGTCTGAAGGATGCACTTTAACTACTAGCCGCTTCGATGTGCATATATCAACTCACCTACTCTTATGGAGCTAGATATGTGGACCGTACGCAAGGACACTGTCAAACATCGATGTCAATACTTCCAAGCATGGCTCATCAACGGTTAAAGCAGATCAATAGTTAACTCCATATAAAAACACATAGTTGACAGAGGATACACATTTCCAGAAGATTTGTTTGCAGTAGTCTGCAAAGTACAACGTGATCTTTCGAAGGGTATGAGGAAACATTTACTTTGCATTGTTGAAGCTCTGGCACTCAAATAACCGAAACCGGAATTGTGTATGCAAAAGCACCTTTGTCATTCTCCGTCCCTATTAACTTCTTAGTTCTTAAACTTTCCAATTCTTAACCTCAACTTATCTTTTAATTTTCATATTGTTGATACGTAAACGATCTTCATTTAGGTCAATTACAAATTGGTAACTGTTGATTCCAACTCACAATTACTTACTAATGTTTCTTACGTAACTTCCATTCCCACATCATTATCCTGACCATAACTAACTAGGAATAATCGAGTGACAACTACTGACATTTTTGTCAATAAATATACACGCTAATTATATTTAAGTGCTACTGTACAGCTTCTGAGAATGATATTACAGAAACAAATTTGTTTGCTAAAGTCTTTCTTCTTTTACTAAAAACTGGTCGTTATCACATAAAACACCACGTTGTGAGTATGATACCATTCCGTAGTGAAGAAGAGTAGTATTTAAAGCAATGATTGATCGATTCACATAGTGGTGAAGAATACCAACACTGGATGTACCTACAGTCGGTAATTTCCAATTACGATGGGAATGAGGCTTCACACTCCACTGAAATATATCACTCAACAAATACTTCATAATACAGGGAATTCATAAAATGTCTTTCGAATCAGTGAACGCCCTTAATTCTTATATTAATACAGTTAACAGGAGAACGATAATTTTGCTTACCCCTTCAGTTTTCATTATTTTACTTCGAAGCCAAGATAAATAATACACACGTACACGGTTTTTACGACCAGATATTGTGACCAAAATATTTTGACCTTCTAAAACAGCCATTCTTGAAAATCTTCGTCTTGTAATTAAGGAGTAGACTGAAACAAAAAGCATTATATATATATAAATATATATATATATATATATATATATATATATATATATATATATATATATATATATATATATCATGAACTTGAGAATCGGATAACCATTACCGACAAAATAGAATGGCTAGAGAGAACGGTTGACATATGATACAGTAAAACATTTGGAAACTTTCACCGTAACTTTATGATAACAGTTCAAGCAAATAAAACAGATAGCAAGATATGAATAAGAAGAAAAAGATGAATTTCAGTTGAGCTCAGCGAACAGTAAAAGAGATGGAGAGGATAAGTAGGAAGTATCAGTTATAACTATAAAGGCTGGTACTAAAAAATAAACCAACTTAATATTACGTTGAATAAAACAAGCAGTCAGACACCAGTTAAACAGAATAACAGGATCTGAACACTACGTGAGAATTTCGCTTGCTTTCAGATAAATTCATCAGTGCTCTATTGGGACCAAATCATTCTCATATGAGACTGGCCGAATTGATGACATTAGGAGTTACGTACAAATGTTTGCTCATAACAAAAACTAAGTTTGTAAAGCAGCACTAACGTCAAGAACAAACGGTATGTTAAGTTACACATAATATAAAACTTTTAGAAATTACTTTACGCTAGAAGAGGATGACTTTAAAGGTGACCCTAACAACTGCTGACATAACCAACTAGGTTTCTTTAGATTATGATAAACTGCCTTCACAGCCGGAATACCAAAACCTGATTGGTTATTTCAGTATTTGCTAAGGTGGTCCTTAAAGTCATTCCTCGAAGAGTGACTGTAAAAGCCAACTTAGTAACCACTCGGACAACTGACTAGGTTTTCTCATTTCGGCTAGGTAGAGAGTTTTCACGAAGTAGTGAGACCTGACTGGTTATTTAGTTTATGTTTAAACTCAGCATTGCTTACTCTATACTCCCGTCACATGGTAGTTGAATAAAGATTTATTGGTAAAACGAATAAGCTGAAAAGAAATCTCTCTACTAACCTTCATTGAGCTCAATAAACAATGATGATAAGTAACAAAAAGTAGAGTATCTCATCTCATGAGATGCTTATTCATATCCAAATTTTCTCAACTGAGATTAAGGATCTCTTTCATGAAATAGGAAAAAAATAATAAAGCAAAAGGTTCAGTTAGTAATTTATGTGTCTGTTGTGCATAGGTGTTTTTCAAAGTTGTTTTTCCTCTCACATAAACTCACAGAAAGCTGATGAAGCTAAAATTTCTTATCGACATCGATGAACAGTTAGAACTTGACAGTTATGTCCACTACCCGTTAAGTGACCATTTAGCGTACATACCCTAATCATGCAGGGGATCAGTTGTAGCAAGTAAAGATAATTGACAGCCTCTCTAACTGCAGTACTGAATGAGGTAGGTTCAAATTTTCAAAAAGACGTAGGTTTTCTCAAAATTACAGATGTGCCTTACGGACGAGTGCCAAAAAGCATAAGGTATCGGTTGAGCAAGGCTTCTCGATGAATGACTAAAAAACAGTGTAAACTTGATCGTTTTCTCTGCCAATTCCTAGTATGTAGATGCGATAGAAAAGAAATATACAGAATACACAGTTGTACTTATGAAACCTGTCAGTGGAACTGATGGAGGATTCAACACTTTCCCATGTCAATCTAATCCACATATGGAAATGTTTGTGATCGGCATAAGCCATAAATAGAAATACTGCGGTGAAAAGAATGAAAGCACATGCAACAGGCATGAACCAATTTTAGAATTAGAATAGAAATGAGCTCACAAAAATGATACACAGCAGGATAGCAATATAACAGTTCGAAATGCTTGGATGAAGGTAGTATGTACAGTTGGAACAAAGACTAAGATGTCAACGAGGTGTGCTAGCTGGGAACAGTCGGTAACATGATCCCAATCTTCAGCTTGAATCCTCAGTATAGATTTGAATATTACATAGCAAATTTCATTTTTCAGTCTTATAAAAGTTCTTTCCTCAAATTTCTAACAGAGTTACGAGTGTACGCATATATTATAAATGGCTTGAAATAACAATATATTCACTGAAATACTGAAACAACAAGAAATCTGAAAAAATAGACTACTGGTGACAGTGGTTATATGGTAACTTAGTCCCTACGACAAATGATGATTTTGAACTCAATCAGGTATGAAATCGTGGTTGAGCACCAGAAATGAATCCTTAACCGAGACGAGAAATTTATTTAATGCTCACTATTTTTCACAAGTAATCTGGATGATAAAATTCAGTGTTGAAAACTGCTTTGCAATAACTTTAGGAAAACAGTTTGAAAAATATTGAGGACCATTTTTCCATCTGTAAGAAATTCACTGTGAGATGACTAATAGTAGAATGACCTGTTTGTGTGATAGATGTTAATTTCGATACATTTGAATTTACCCTTATTTTAACTAACCATATATCCTATCTGGCCTAATTCTCTTATTCAGTATGACCTTAAGCATTTCCTGAATAACTAGTGAACATTGATTAAACTTTTGGTTATCTATGAAGTAAATCATTGGAAAGAGTGATGGTGATTACCGATTTCTAGTTAGTTGTACAAAACAACATAAAACATAAATGGTGATGATTAAGCGTTTTAAAACTTTCCCGACATAGTAATGCCGAAATATTGATCTTGGTGACTAGCGGAGGAACTGAGGACACGCGTTTCATCTTATTTGGGACCTGTCAGTTGGACCTACCTGATGTTGTTCTCACTGAGGCTCGAACCAAGTACCCATCACTTCAAACGCCAAAACGTTAACCACTAGTAGGCCACTGGGGAACGATACCCATTTCTTGTGCAACGGGTATCAGTTGTTGTTATGATACGTATAATTTCCCGTTGTTACACAGGGCTGAATTGCTCGACCTATGTTGGCAAATGGGCTTCTGTGCGGATGCCTCGATACTGCCAGATATTCATGATGTTATACTGATCGAAGCAAAGACAGAAACCAGTTATTCTATTGCTTTCTAGAGTGTCACTACTTACTTTTTTGAGATACACTTTGGTGCAGCAGGACTGGTTTGCACTGATTCTTAATCTACGGACAGGGATAGAAGTGGTCCAATAAGTTGGTCACTTCAGGGAGATAGTTAAATCCACCTTAATGGACAGGTTGATCAAAAATCTTAAACATTGATGCAAAAGACTCAGTTGATATCAAGACTATCAATCAGAAAGTGAGTGCATTTTGCAACATTACGCTTTGTCTTACTAAATGATTATGAAACACTGTCATTCAAGGCGAATGACATGAGGTCACAGATACTTGACCATATGTCTTTGTAGCATCATTCACAGGGATCGGAATCACCATATCAGTAATGTAAAGACTGAGCACAGAGTATTAAGTAACCAAGATAAGTGAGTCGATGAGGTTGTGAACCTTCATCAACTGATGTAGCTGGGTTTTGCCGCACATACCGACAATGATCTCTGGTAGCTGGTATAAGATTAGACTGGAATGAAGTGAAAACAGGACACTGATTTTCCACTAGTAGTGGTCTTAAAAATAAAGCAAGACGTGGTCTACCTGGTTGGTTGCCTTAAGGTAATAGGAATCGATGGTTGGAAAATCTTTATGATAAGCTTCAAAACTGATAATGACACAGATATATTCAATCTGTAATATCTTTGAAAATTCAAGAAACTTATTATCCTACATTGACTTATTTTTTCCTTTCATGTTGTTTAGTTTACAACGACATCATTCTTTTTCTGCTCGCTTCTTATTCGTGTTCTGTTGCTGAGTGTAGAATTTCGAACTGATGCACTTTTGACAGTTATTTGGTGTTCTCTAAGTTGATGATATCATATCAATCCAGACGATGAAATGTCCATGAGAAGACATTGAAGCTTAAAAAGCACTAGTCCATTGTCCCCCTGATCCTGAACTAAAGGCAGATAAAAACGATACTGATTCCGAAGGGCTTATTAGAGCTTAGTATTGAAAGTTAAGTGAACGACATAAAAAATACACACAGGATTTCCTCAGGGAAAATACTGTAAAAATTATATAACGACTGTTGTGTCATTCGAAGAGAAGAAAAAGAAAACATACGGGTTGGAGTTGTTAGTTAAAGGAAATCAATTATCGTGCATAAGTCCGTAAATCAGTTATTTCATTTTTGTGAATGAAGTTACGTTGTGGGAAAACAGTTTTGAAGTATATATTATATACATGCCTCAGGTTACAAAGAACACGGATAGTAAGTGCCGATAATGTCTTCTACTGAACGAAGGTTGAGAGACTGATCCATATGAGAATTGAGTGGACGTGAAGTTGTGATTGCATATGAAATCGATAAAGTTCATGATCAGAGTTATAAGAGAATTAGAAAACCGTGCGATAAACATACCACAAAACTCATACAAACAAAAAGTTGGCGAAATTATAGAAAGCTTTGGAGCAGTGGTTATCGAAACTACAGCAAGATCTCGTGATTTCACTGGACTATTATAGGAATGTTGTTGCCTTGAGATAAAAGATAGATGATCAAGTCGACTAAGCTCTATCTAACGTCCTCACGTGGAGAGATCAGCAGCTGATGAAGTCAAATGGATTGATTTCGGTTGAAATATCTCGACTGTTCCAGGGATGACGTAGGCTGGCAGATGCAAAACAGGCCCTTTGTGTCCAAGCTGAGATTTCGCCAGCCACCAATGTATTTGGACTGATGTGACTCCCGAAGTACGTAAAGTGGTTAACGTATTCTGCCAATTCATTGCCTATTCTTGAACTGGAAGTAGCTATAGACCAGTTCTGAACCCATCGAGTACCTGAGTTTCGAAATTTTCAGCAGACATCAGTAGGGTGTGCTCAAAATGCCGAAGAAACACACTCTCAGATACTGTTATGATCCGCGTTATATGTAACGATACAATCCTCCAACGCGATACGACTAACGATAGAACAATGACTTCTCAACTCGATATTAAGCTGACACCAGGAGACGGTGGGATTGAAAGTATATTACTTTTTTAGCTGGATAATGATAGCTGAAAAAGCCATTCATATGTCTTTAGATGGCCTTGGCCAGGGAGAACAAAATAGCTTATTAAAAAATAGAATGGACCGCTCTGCGTTTAATATCCCAAACTGCGGTAAAAAATGATTGACATGCATGGCGCAAAGGGGGTGCGAAAATAAGGTTTAAATTTTATAATTATAATATAAACATATTATAAGCTAGTTGTCTTAGGGATTAGGCATCACTAACAGTACAATATCACCAAGTTAATCCTACATACTGTTATCAGATATGTTATATTTATATAAATCAGCGTGTTTGAAATAAATAAATCCAACGCTTCGCACGGAAGTCTGTTTCAAGCTTCTTGCGAGAAATAATCAAAAACTACTTTATCACAGATACATATGACAGGTTGAAAATAGCGTTGTTCATTTTATTATCCAATCTTTTCTGCATTATGATGCATGAATGCATCGTATATATCAATGCACAGTGAATAACTAATAATCATACTGAACAACAATCATAATCCAGACGGAATTGGACAATGAGATGAATTTCACGACTCTGACCTGATATGTAGTTTTTAATTATATCTGTGGAGAAGCTCAGGCTAGACCTCCAAGTGAAGCGTTGGAATTATTAATTTCAAATACCCTGAGACTTATATAAATACAACTAATGTCCAACGCCAACTTTTCACACATTGCCCAAAAATTTGTGAAACTCTCCAGTCAAATCTTGACCAGTATTCGTATAAAATAATGGCACCAGAGTTTAGAGGAAACTACGCAAAAGAAAAACTATCTAAAATCACACTAGGTAGTAAGGCTTAGAAAGCATATGACAGAAGTGAAGAAAAAGAATGAAGAGATAAGATTGAATTTTTACATAACAAACGAGAAGCTGACACGAAAATGGATGACAATATTATGTCAAACACCTTTGTACACTACAGGTTAAGGTGTGATAAAATTTAAATATCTAAGGAGATAAAAAATTTAGGAAGTAACTTACCACGACCTTCACCACTGCGGTCTAACAGGGAAAGACCGGTTTCTAAACCAATTAGTAAATTTACACCCCACATAGATGCACATAAAATTTCTGAATTGAAACGTTTCTTATACACTTGAATCTCAGGTGTGTCATTGCCTAAACCACTAACTGTTGTCGGTAGGTTATTTGTAGCAGTTAATACACCAGCGACACTAACATTGCCACCTGTAGGGACCTGTGGACCCGTTGTAATAACTGTATTAGTTGTAGTGATTGACGGTAAACTGAAATTTAAAATATTGGCACATATTGGATTGGAGAGAGCGACAGATTTGACTACACCGCCAGATGAATTACTGTTCGTTTGAGAAAGTTGTACATCCAGCTAGAAATTTACATGGGGAAATTTTTAAAAAGGACGATAGTAATCTAAACAGGAAAAAGGTGACTCACATAAGTTATTGATTCATTGAGTTTTTATATAGTGATTAAATAAAATGCTAATATTACACGAATTTTAAACAGATTACGTGTACAAAAGTCATGTGAAAGTGAGGCTTGAGTCAACCGAGAGTCTATATGAAATAAATCTCGACTTTACACAATTGATCGTAATAAGAACCGTATCTAGATCATACTATCAGGTTATGCAGATCCTCCCAAATACGAGGAACACGCTTGATGACTCAAAGGATTGATGTAATAACAAGATTGGATTATGGGGTGACAACCATCCACCCATGAAGGGTTTCCTTTATTTACGTTTCTCATGTCAGTGAGAGTATAAAAATAATGTAAAAAGAATCACACTGAACAATAATCTTAAACAATAAGCTGAAAGTTGATGGATTTATAATTGCTACAATGGGGATATGCAGTTTTGGGAGGTTAAACTTCAGCCTACTACTTCCACACATTCTAAACATAATACGGAAGTCAATTCAGAAAGAGAAACACTTGAACAACTTTTATTCAATGCTGACTAAGACTTGTTTCAAAGATGAAAAATGTAGTCTACAGTTGTATTAAAATAAAACTTACATTGAATTTTACGCAAAAACCAACTTCCTGTCAATTGGATTCGCCAATAAGTATAAAAAGTGTAGCATCTGAAGGTTGCATATCTACATAAAGTTGTTCTCAACACTCACTGGTGGTTGTCCTAAAGGGAGATGATTTGTGGATGTTCAGTAACCAGTCGTTCCTGCTGAAAATCAAAACTGTTGATATGGTGGTTTCATCACACGCGAGTAGTGCTGCGAAAAAAAGTATGGTCAGATGCCTATACCCTTCTCATGTATTCCACTTTTAATAGCCGGATCTAGCAGAAAAACAACAAGGCAGAACGAATTTTCCCATAGTATTCTCATCTTTTGATGCTCAATGGAAATTTTTATCCGACATGTCTTGTCAGGAACCAGCTCATAAGGAACTGGGTAGCTGTAGTTAGGTATAAAATGGTGGGAGTCAATCAGCCCTAAAAGTAGACTTCGTGGTTGTTAAAACTCACCAGAAAAGTGCATCTTGAAGCTATTAGGAACTAAGGTCACTCCAGTGATTTGATCTTGCGGCACTCAGCGTTGAAAACAGAAACAACCACTGAGCTAAACTACACCACGACTGATGGCAGGGAGGAGTGGACCACGAATGCAAACCAGTCACCCGAAGGTAACCAAAGTAGCTATTTAGTGCTACAGACTTCGCACTACAACGTCCGGGTTAACAGACTGTCACCTTTTAGTCTGACCTCATCTAATAACTCACACCGTTAAATATATGTCAATTAACATTGCATGGCACAACAGACAATAACTAGGTATGCGGAACATGTAACAGCCATCTTAATAGATGAAGGTTCACAACTTCATTAACAAACAGCTGCTCTGCTTGAAACTACACCTGACTTCTGAAGTGATGGGACCATGACACATGGTGTATGCTATGAAGGCAATAGTGATCAAATACCTGAAGCCCCCCATGTCCTCTACCTTCATGCACATGTTTCACAACAAAACTACAGAACAGAGCAAGCTGTCATGCAATTGATAAGCAATACGATATCATGATAGCGTCATAAATGACTTCCGTCTGTGAACACCGAACAACACTTTTGTACTCGTGCCGACATTTCATCGGTCACTGACTCATCAGGACTGATCCGATTTCCCATATAAGTGAAGTGGTCAACGTGCCCAACTACCCCATTCCTTACCTTCGAACAAGACACCACATCAAATCACTCGTGGCGCAACAATTTCCATTCAGATGCTGTCATGGACATCCCAACACATTCTCAGATTACCATTCAAGGTGTCCTCTAGACTCGGAATCTTCGCCTAACAGGACCACGTTATATGGATTCTTTATATTTACTAAAGATTATCGTATGATGAGATCAATGCCTTTTAAGTTAGACAATGAGTGGCAGACCTCAATAAGCACGTCTATGATAGAGTACGATAAGAATGGAGAGAGTCGACGCCATTGATGAACACCACTCGACGAACACAACTTACTTGACAACTCACCATAGACTCGGACATGCCAACGGATGTTACAGTACAGAACCCTCAAGCGAAGGATGTTTCCACTAGGTGCCCTTTTCAGTGAGAGACACCGTCATGAGACTCCTCGGTTGACTAAGTTGAGCGCCACCTCTAAGCCTAGAAATACGACCAGGGTCGGGTGTCAGTAAGTGTGGCTGTTCTCCATAACCTGGTGGATGGCGAATATCTATTGGTCTATGGTACTTAAGACTAGGTCTGAAACCAGACTGGTCTCTACTTTGCTCCTTCTGGGCTCCACTAAGACGTCTGATGAAACCTAGTCTTCGACACCACGTCGATTAGAGTGATTCTCCATGTAGTTTTCACGAGAGGATTTCGCATCTTTCTTAAGTACTGGGAGAACCAGTGGTTGAGAGCAGCCAGAGGGAGTCACATATGATTGCAAACGCTTGTTAATACTTAAGTTTATATGATCCTTAATTTACGACAGCCGTTTATAAATGCCACTGACACTAGCTTGTTTGACCCTGTCGCCATTCGTCGTGTGGAGCTGTAGCTCAGTGGTTTAGGGAGTCGACTACCAACCAGTAGGTCACTATTTCTAATCCCGCTCGGCCTACAGTGGTTTGGGCAACTAGGTGAGGCTCATTGCGTACTTTACGGATGTGCAGGTGGTTGAGTGCGTTTCGCTCGCCATTCCTCGTCTCAGGTTACAGCTCTCTCAACTTCTGCAAGTGCTTTAGATCCTATCTCAATGTTCCATTCAGGATTCGGCTGGATGTCGGAGAACGGAATATTACCTGGAGATAAAATATGCTGTTCCTTAGAGCGTTCCGCCCATCATCCCAGTCGTTTCCCTTTGAAAGTGAATCAGATACCTGTTCTTCTCCGTTATCAATCTCACTAATCACTGACATTTTGGCCCTAGTTTCCGTGATAAGTCTACATGGTTGTCTGTTGTTACTTATCGCCGCTACTTCTTCTATTTCTTTAGCCTTTGCTACTGTTTACAATCATTGCGTAGATATTTTGTTAGTCTGCATTTGAGTTACTACCACTTATTATTTGGCTAGGAGACTGCCGTAATGGGTTGACGTGCATCCATCAATGCTGACGTTTTTGAGATCCACTGACGCTTTACAACACATTTCTGACGGTCATTTACGTGCCTTAACAGTGTTTTCACAAAGGATTGAAGATAACATGAAGCCTGTACTGTTGCGATAACTGTCTCACCAGTTTCTTGTGGAAAGCAGTCATTACATTCTCATCGTTGAGCTGGGCTTGGAATGGTCTTACTGCTGTAGTTTTTCTACATCCATTTAGGTGCAGATATATATACACATACCTGAACCATTGCATGATTTTGTCCTCTTCAAAATATCGGACATTTTAACTAACCTTCGTTTACGTATTACCTCCTATAAATGTTTGTCCGCTTGAAAGCCATACTTCTTCTCCCAATTTCTTCTTTGCATGTTGTTGTTAAAAAGGATGGTTAGTTAAAATGTCTGAAATTTTGAAGAGGACAAAAGCTGAGTACATCCATTCACCGTGACTGATTTTCAGCCATTTCAGCGGCAGTCACTATTGATTTGTATCATCTCGAGGGCACTAACCAGACAGCCCACATCCTCTTATTCGCCACAGACCGGCGGCCACGGGTTTCATTAAATGGTGCTGGTTTTCGTAGCAGGTGCTTTTAATGCACGACTGGGTAGGCTAAGTTTACCAGACAGTTCCTTACGTGGCACTCTCATGAGTTCAGCCGAACGAACAGATAACAAGGATCACCTGCTACAACTGTGCTCAAACGATCACCTTTTTCTGGCCAGGACAAGCTTTAGACATAAACAGTGATGTCCTTGATCTCAACTCAATACTGAGTAATAAGTAGATTACACTGCTATCATTTATTGATGAAGAGGGTCAGTGGAAGATTGCTACTCCTTCTGAAGCATGAATTACCTCTCCCAATTTCTTCTTTGCATGTTGTTGTTAAGAGTGGTAACATGAAGTGATGTATGTCTGTTGAAGGTTCCAACTTGATTTGTCTATTTATCAGAGAGTAGAATCACGTTTCCTTCTAAAAAAGTCCTAACTACGACAATAAATTGACTATTTCTTACTTCCTGATTTCTGATAAGAATCAAGAAAGTTTCACAAATATTCATAAAAAAAACTAGCAGCTTGGTAAACTTGATTTCTCTGTTTAATATCCTTCAAGACAAATCAAAAACTTTGTTAGATAAAAGGTAAAATAAAGTCTTAAGACGAACTCATAAGGATGTCTACATTAAGAGAGGGATACCGCTGATGAGTCGTCGCACCTCAAAATATTCAACTGATATAAAACAAGATTTAAAGAATTCTTGTTTAACCAACACTAAGTTATGCTTAAGAAAAAACAATGATGGATTAAATACCTGAGTTCTTGACTTCTGGTTTGCACGTGGACTAGGTTCTGAAACTCGAGTGCCAAGATTGTTACCTGCAATACTGATTGCCGGAACTGACCAAACTGAACTCGGTAGTGCTTTATTTGAATCTGTAACTACAACAGATTGAGGAGAAATTTGTGGACCACTTTTTTGTGCCATATTGAATTGCCCCATCAAAGAAAGTTGGCTGGTTAGAATACTTGTACTTCCATCAACAGGCTGATATGATGTCTTATTATTATGACCTCCTGGACTAAAATGAACGGCATCTGAGGAATGCGGTGGCGGTGGTGGTGGCTGAGCTTCTTTCAGTTTAATAACAGCTAGAAGAGAATAAAGTGGAAAAAGTACACATCACGAAAATATATGAATCCATTTTTTGAAGGGATTTTAAAATTCCAAGGTAGAGTTAGTCAAGGAATAACATCATTTTCTAAAATACAGAAATATTTGAAATACACCGGCTAATGTATTAGAACACTGTGGAGTTACGCGCAAAGTGGTAGCACTATGCAACCAGAATGGTCAAGGTTCAGTCACAATAAGGTTTAAAAAAGTGAGTACTCTTACATAGAATCTCAAAGAGTCGTGTTCAAACATCTGTCCAAGACTTCCTTGTTCAACTCAGTAATCATATTTAAGTTCGTATAATATACTGTAAGTCGTGTCTCATTGTGTGAGAGTGAATTATTAAAATCTATTCTGACCAACATTGCAACCAGATATTCAAAGTATTTAGACATATACTGACCACTTAATACAACTGAGTTACATACCAGAGCTGGCCACTGGATGTTAGCTTAGATGCTGTTACCTGAAAAGGCGATAAATCTGAGCTTAAAACTTCCTGTAATTAGGTGTCAGTGTTACATATCTTCACTAATTTAACAATGAACAACAAAAAATTAGCAGTGGGTCTCAATACTACTGCAGTTTATGAACTGGATGGTATGAAAGTGAGGCGTTAATTTTTATCCAACAGTACAAAATTTTAATGAATCAACTGATGAAAGCAGAGGAACGACTACAGGATCAAAGGTCAAACTAACAAAAGCAGGTAATCGAAATGTATTTCTGCAAAGTGACAACAAATTATTGAAATGAGCAATTAAACATCTAACCATTAAAATACACTTTAAAACAATCTGAATTTCAAGCTAGTATTAATATTTTTTAACAGTAACAATGAATACTTAACAACTAAACGAAATAATAATCTCATACGATAGTGAATAGTGCTTTCAGCCCTTTTTTAGAGTTAGTTATGGTATAGGAAAACTAAGTCTGTTGCACAGTCATCAGAAAATCAATTAACTAAGCAATGAATTCGGGGAACAATACATCAAGCATACTTATTTGAAGGAGATAACCCAGTTAGATCTGTAAATACGCACAGGCATATATATAAAGAGAGAGGATTAAGTGATTCTGTGTACTTCGATTGATGTGTTCATGGGAGAGGAACAGGGAGGAAGATAAAATTGCCAAAGTAAATACAAATCGACTTGAAGTTAACGAATCACCATCGACAATTTACTGGTTTAACAACAATAATATATGATTGGGTCAGTAAATATCTATGACTAATCAACGTGAATAGAATAGTGGATTTCATAGTACTTTACAAATAACATGAAAGACCTTACAAAGTAATGTTTTATTGGAGGATGGACAGTGCTATGCTGTTTAAACCTCAGTTCCAGTCAAACTTCAGTGACCAATTACATCTGCAACGTGATCGTTAGGTTACTTCTGATGGATGGACTACGGATCTAAGCAACTCAAGTTCTTATCTCTAAATAACCTTGGAAATTGTTAAGACGGTGGAGGCATCTGAATAGTGAATACTAGTAAATATAACGTATGGGGGTCTAGAGGAAATATCAAATACCAAAATACAATTAAGTAGAAGAAATAATCAAAAACATATATACGCCTTAATAACTTCCATGTCAAAAAGCGATGAAAACCGCTTCGAAATCAACCAATCGCCAATGATGCTGCTCAGTAGCGGAAAGCACAACAGTTGTAGTGGATTTGAAAATATGATCCAATAAGTGAGAACTGATGTACTCCAACCATTAATATACAATTGATTCACTGTTTAAGCCCAGCATTTATTACTGTTTTAACTCCTAACGAATTCAAGTATATACTCTGTGAATTGATAAAATTGAAGATGGTGTTCGTTTTCGTGTCATCACAGTCTACCACTACTCATCACATGTTGATATCTTTATAAACTAACAAATCTGTGATACCACTTGCAAGTTTATAGGGATTTATTTGCTGGTTTCAAGTTGGTATTCATTATGGACTGGGATCAGTTGGGGAACCATTGGAAATCTGGGAACACGGGGTGATTGTTTCGTCCTAGTATGGGACTCCTCAGCAGTGCGCACCCATAACCCCGCTAGGGATTTGTGATGACAGTTCACCATGTGATTCACATCAAAATGGATTTATTCAGGTTTTAATAAGGAAGATGTGACCTATAGTATCAACAGTAATAAGTTTGTTTCCTTCATTTACCAACTAACAAACATTAAAAATACAGAAAAAACACGATGAACCTGTGCACATATTATTGTAAAGATTTAATAAACTTGTAAATGATGAAAAAATAACAATAGTAAAACATAGTTTACCTTCTTTTTCATTTCTGTTCATCGGTATCGAAGATGCTGAACTAGTGAGTGAAACATTTGAATCCATTGGTGATGGGCCTGCTGGATTCGGATAGCCATTCGACATTGTAAACTAGATCAAAGTAATCAACAACAAAAAAAGTAAGATAAAATAAGCAAACAAGGTTTGTGATAGAATAATATAAATAATTATCATTTCAACCGAGTATTTCATTAATGAATAAGAACTGAGTTGCAGAAAAATGAAATGAGGTGATAAGTGAGAATCGCACCATCCAATAACCGTCATCAAGCAGTTAAGCAACTTGGACACAATAGTAGTGTATAATCGCAGATTATTTTGCATGCATCAGAGTGAAATTTGAGTGCTGGTTAGATGACCGATAAATAAAATTTATTTGAACTAGGCCTAGTGTAAGTGGCATATAACGACCTCTTAGGAACCTTGTTGTAGAAGAGTAGGATTTACACATAAAATCTGCACTAGCGGTTTACACCATCTTCAAAAGATACAAAACTGGCGTTAAAAACAATAATATTATTCACAAACGGTTTTCAATGTAAAGATTGATAGCTGAGGTCACTGTAAATCTTGGAGCTCTTAATTGAAAAGATGTAATATTCCGTTAACTCGGACAACATATTTGCGGAAAAATATGGTATGCATATCAACTATAACTAAATCCATCTCAAAAGTATTCGTTTGTGGACACACCGAATTATGCTCTTCTCAAAGGTGCTGGCATCCAGCTACATACGCACACGAAAACATTAACGACGATAACATTTAGTCCTGTTTCGCTTTTGCGTATATGTAATCTCATTTATTCTATTTGCTATTCGAACATATTTTGTGCTTTGCAAAGGCGTCTTGCGCGAGATTATGAAGCATTAGAAATTTATTTTTCGAACTTAACACACCTCTTTTATTTGTAAATTTCATGTCAATTTGTTTCTTAGATGCATCTCACACGGTTTATGATCACATTGAGAAGTGATTTGTATACTTCCAGTTTTTATTTCCCATCATGCTAGGGTAGGGGGTAGAATTTGTTAGTTATTTGTATTTAAAGCTTTGATTCGTTTGATCTAAGCGCTTGATTGGGTTGTGAGTGGGTTCATACCCACATTTCCACCATTAGAGTCGAAATAGCTAGTTAGTGTTATCAATCATCTTAAATAAAGTACATATAGCTGAACATCATATAAATACATTTTCAGGCAATGACTGAATTACATACACTCAAATATATGAAACTACTTATACAAAACACAGTAAGCTTCTATCATTCTGTCAATTTGATGTTATAACTTATAAACCTCCGTTGTTAAGTGGATCAAGTCTCGGTGGGAAGATCACTCACTAGGAGGGAAGTACGTCCAGCTGACGAACCCCAAATAGAACGAAACGCGCATTCTGGATTCCTGTGCTAGTCACTAACCATCATCAACATCTTATCAATTGTTTACACACCTTTTTCTTGATACATACTTATTTTTTTGTTTATTTTATCCGTCTAAAAGAGGTCAGTTCAGTTCCTTAAGTCGCCCATAAATTGTCTTGAAAATTTTACTTGAAAGACTCGAACTTTTGTCTACACGCGTAAATGACTGGCTTATTAGGTTTATTCTGAAAATTTCTAGATTCGATGATGAAATTTCAATATAGCTGACTAAAATTGATACAAAAAAGTTTGATAGCCATCACAAAACTTACACAATGAGCAATGGTACTCACAATATTAACGATAATCATGCACAACAGAGTTATAGATATTATTACAAGCACTCTGTATATAAGCTACATACAGCGAAGGAAGCTGGGTAACAAGAGTACTCATGTTCATATAACTATATATCAAATACAATTTGTAGTTAACATCCAACTAAATAAATATAAACAAAATTATGTTCTTTTCTTTAGGTACAAGGATAGAAATTTATGCCTTAACATAATTACTCAAAATTATGAAGACTCCAGTGTTGGATGATGGAGGTGGATCGTAGGGAAGCTGTGCTTGATCCAAGTTTCGCTGGCGTTAGCACTTGTCAACAATGTGTACCTACATCATTGAGGAAGCGCGCATTCGTTAAAAGATTCAAACTCCTTTCATTGTGTTGAAGTCATAGACCGCATCACTGGAATGTTCAGGTTATGAATAACTTCCTTGTAAGAGTAGAATGAGTTCATACACTAGTCGTTGGATGGCAACCGATTAGCTTTTCAAGTCCTGTGTGTTGATAGAAGTCTATCGATCAAGTTTTCATTATGACCACTAGATTGATATAGGTGCCTAAATCTAGATATCTAACTACCTAGCGAGTAACCTTTAATATCTAACTCCATCTAAATGTAGCATTGTGTAACCAAGTTTGATGACCACATGGGAAACTCAATGGATCAAAACAAATAAATTTCAATAAAGAAATTACTAGCATTGCTGTCCTTAAAATGGAGTGAATCAAATCAATCAGATATACATAGTAGACTGAAGACCAAATTGTGAACGACTGTAACTAATATAATTACTACTGATATTACTAGTGGTTGTGATAAATATTGATGATGATAATAATAATAATAATAACCTTACCTTTCCATTATCACTACCATTAGTTGTTGGTCTACTCGGCGTGTTTTCGTTTGAACCAGATCGCCCAATTGTCCCGGATGTTGACTCGATAATTGAAGCTAAACTGCACAGTGTTTCTTTAGCGAATTCATCTGATGGTCTAAATTGTGTGTTTGTATGCACACGTGTTGTTTGTGAATGATATATGACAAAATAGGGTTAAATCAGTTGGTCATATAAAAAAAATTGATGAGATATTTACGACAGATGAAATCGAAAAAAAAGTGATCAAGAAGTATTTGTTATTTACCCAAACTATTTAGACAAACTAAAACGTAATAAAAGTTAAACATCTGCATAATCAGATCAGTGGATGTAACCATTCAGGGTAGTCTGTTTTCTTCCTGGGGAATGGGTAAAAACACCTCTACTCAACATCTATTTCAGACTTAACAGTAATAAGAGTAGTATCATTAAACCTGCGAACAAATTGTCTACTTATATTCATGTGTACTTGCAAGTGTTTAGATTATCGTATGCGAGCATGGAATCTTTTACCCGTGACCCAGAAGATAAAGATACTGGTAACTACATCTACATAAAAGAGGACTGTATAACAAAACTACCTAAAGACGAAAGCTAATCAAAAGCATAAATAAAATGAGCATGATGATTCATATATGTGTATAAATGCAGTGGTGCGCAATATTATTGTCTGGACGCTGCAAAAAAGCCATAAAACCTAGCCAGCTTTATCTCCATGGAATCGATCAAACGTCACGAAATATACTAGAAAGTTCAGCATACCACTTCATATTTATAATGTGAAGACGGCGATAATGGTAAAATTCAGTGAGAATTGTGTAGATATACGAAGTCAAACTGTGTTTTGTTATCGAGGTTGAGAAGATTTTAAGTAATTTGAAACGAAAGTATTAAAGAAGGGCAGTCGTAAATTACTGACCAGATTAACCGAAGTATTAGCAAGGGTTTGGGAATCAGATGTGATTCCTTCTGACTAGTCCTAACGATTGATTGTCAAACTCTTCAAGAGAGGTGGAAATCCTATGGCAAAAATCACACGGGGAACCACTGAATATGATGGTGTCTAAAACTGTAAGTTCTATAATTATCAGTCGACTAAGTGGAGATCAGGAACAGAAAAGTCAAGAAAATCAGCCTAGTTTCCTACCTGGTCATGTATGTGTCGGCCACCAGATATTTGTACTCCATCAGGTAATGGGACACACCCACACTTAATGACGTACGACATTAGTTGTATTTCAGTACTTGGAGGTGGCATTCGATTTTGTCACCTAAGAGGTTTTGTAAGAGTGCCTCTCAATGAAAGGAGTGCTAAGTAAGAGTACCACTCTGTTTAGGGTTGTGTGCTCAAACATCTATGGGCATCTCTCAGTCTATGATCAGTAGTGTACGTCAAGTGATGTCCATTATTGGTGCTGAATCTCGCCATTCCTATTTATTGAGGTCTGCCACTCATTGTCTAACTTAAAAGGCATTGATCTCATCATACGATAATCTTTAGTAAATATAAAGAATCCATATAACGTGGTCCTGTTAGGTGAAGATTCCGAGTCTAGAGGACACCTTGAATGGTAGTCTGAGAATGTGTTGGGATGTCCATGACAGCATCTGAATCGAAATTGTTGTGTTGGACTACCACTGACTTGGTAATAAAAGCGCTTTCTCGAAGTGTAACCATATTAGCTTTGACCGTAATGTTGCAGATGTATCGTTACATCATTTTCATTTTAATTATTATATTGCATTTCATTACAGTCTTGTTCCTCCTTGCCCTCGTTTTACGACCTTGTTTAACCCTGGACTGTTTTCTTCTTTATTTCTTCATCTTTCAAATTAGTGCATTCTCACCTGGCATAAGATGTGTCAATGTGGATTGTTAATGAGTGTGATGCCAAGTCACATGCTACTATTGATTACCTTGAATTGATCTTTGTTAGTTAATACAAACTAATGAACTCATTTCCTTGACATCAGTGATATGTAAACACCTTGATACCGTGGTTAGCAGCATTTTGGTAGTACCAAAATGCAACCAGATAATCAACTGGTATCCCAAGGTGATAGACATAGAGTTTGAGTACTAATTGGTGCAACAACATCCAGTGATCCTGGGGACGCATGACAAATAGACTGGATTACACAGCCTATGTTCCGTTTTAATTTAACCGACAAACGCAAATGCTGCATAAACTGCTGGCAATGAAACACTTAAAAATTCAAAAAACATATGATATCGTAAAGAAAGTTATCGCAAAATAATGAAAGAATGTATAACTCTTCTTTTGTTAAAAGTTAGCGAGTCAGTAGATTTCGACACCAAAAGTGTAAAAAATTAAATATTCTACGGGTGAAGTATTAACTACAATCTACCACTTTATTTTATTTCTCATTTTGAATATTGGATTCTTTTACTTGTAACAGTTCAGTTAATAAGCCTAGTTTTAAAGCTGATCAACCAGAGGATAGTTTTCATTTTAAAACCGCAAGCGATTGAAAACTAAGAAACAATGAATATACTCTCAGTCCCAATTTGTAGCTGGTTTATCTGCTTAGCAGAATTTTCCATTTGTATAATACTTTACATCCGAGAGTTTCAGTTATATCTCAAATAAGCTGCATTGTTTGCAACTTACAGAAACCCAGTGCTTAACGTCTGCCTCTAATATTTCAGTTCATAACGAGAATTATCTTTAAATATAATTGGATGCCCAGGAACAAAAACAGCAGCGTTAAGCATTCTGTCTCTATTAACAATTGTGTCGAGGAAAACAATTAACACAAACTATGCCAAAAAATAAGCTACTTTTCTCAGACAATAAGCAGATATACACAGTACACTAATCTCTAAGTGTTTTGTAATTCAATACTACTCAAATGACGTTAGTTAGGGTAAATAACACCATAAAATAACCATTAAAATGTCAGCCAGCATCAAACAAACAATTAGTAGATGGGTGAAAAAAGCTTGTAAACTTTCAGTACTGATATATGCTTGAATTACACACGCATACACACACACACACACACACAAGGAGTTCAAACTGCAAATATGTTATAAAGATATGTACTAAAAGTTATATAACTGTGGAGTTCATGGAAGAAAGAGAATTGAATGCAGAAAGCAAGCACAGCTAATTGAAGAGACTTGAACTACAACACAGAAAACAAACTTACTTTAAAAGCGCAAGACCTGGTACAGAATAACGTCTTGACTGGTGTGATAAAGCACCTAATGTCAATAAGATTTGGCAAGGGTGATGAGCAACAACGTCACTACCACTACTCTCCGTAGACTGATGTTCAAATTTAGGAATATGAGGTTCTAAGTAAAGAGAATAACGTTTAGATCGTGGTGGAAGCGGTGGAGGAGGAGGAGAAAACGATGAGTGAGGCGGTAGGCTTATTGAGTGCATCACATTTTCATTGTGAAGAATATTGGAAATGAAACAAAAAACAAACAAAAGTGTTTTCAAGATTAGGGACAGTGTGAAGTATACAGTTATGTGCAAATATTAAAAAAAGGAATTATTCACCCCAGAATGAAGTGCAAAAGCAGTTCGTAATGAAAGCATGTGTGGGTGTGTTAGGCGACAGCACGAAATTACAAAAAATCGAGGTGAAGATAGAGTAGACATGAGAGGAGAATATGGGGAGAAAAACATAAAACGAACAGGGAATTAGTCATGTATTGAGATCGATTACATAATGCAGTCAATTATTCAAATTACAAGGTTACGATAAACTGAAAATTTCTAAGGAGGTCAAAAATAGAGGTGTTCTCGAAACATTACACAACATATGAACAAACAAACATATACATAAACTAAAACCAAAATGATTAACAACTTACAAAGTTCCTTCCTTATGCCAGCTAACTGTTGCAGTGAACAGTGTACCATCATCTACAGAGTTAGATGATTCATTGGTGATTACTTTATTATTCCCATCATCGCCATTGCACATAAATTGACTGAGTGACGGCCTTTGACGAGTACGAACGATAGACAATGTAGCTCTCAATTGTTCAGCTTCTTCTAGGTCAGCACCATTTTCTTCTTCTTCCTCCTCAACAATTACATCACCTTCATCTTCATCTTCTTCATCTTCTTCACTGACTACTCCCTCTTCCTCTTCGTCTCCACAAGCTCCAGAGTTTACATCATCTACTTGATAATTTTCACTCGTGATTAACAGTTCTTGATCTAGGTCGTCAGGTTGATTCAAATCAGTTTCCTGATTACTTCCTGTCTTGGCATTACTATTATTATCATTTAGCACGTTTACATTCTCTACAACAGTGAGTCGACGAGGATCCACCTCCGTACGACGTTTCCCGTTTAGTACAACTCTACAAGAATGCGCATGAGTTCCACGCCTATTAGAATCACATGATGAATTAGTGGAGGCAGATGTAGAAGAACACGTACTTGATGAATGAAAATCATGATGAGAACCAAGAGAATGAGATCTACTCACTGTGGATGAATTACTTGTTGAATGTTTATTCTTTACTGGAATCGGGGAGTCTAGATTACCACCGCCACTTTCAGATGATACAGAGGATGAGGTAGTAGATGATGAAGATAATGAGGAAGAATTGGATCGTTCACGTCGTTCATTGCAATGAACTGGTCCACCAGATGCAACTGATTCATCAGACGATTTTGCTAAGTTGGCATTGTATTCATAGGCTTCTTGGTGTTTTTCACTTGATTTTTTAACATCTAATTTTTCATTCAATTGGTTGGCATTGTTTTGCCGATGTGGACCAGGTGAGATGGCGCCTAAATTTGTCAACTGTGCAGCTAATTGGTCAAGTTCCTATGAGTACAAAATTGAAATATCATATTCTTAATTAGAGAAAGGATAAAACAAATGAGTGCTGCTTTGTTATCTATCATACAGAACTACACAACATGTAAAGCTATTTATGATATATCATATAGGATGAAAACATACAAAGAATAACTTTGAGGAATATCAAATGGACAAAACATGTACGTGGGATCAATAAATAAAGACAAGCACCACTTAACAACACCAACAACAATCAGTAGGTTTCACTAAGTAAATCAGAGTGACATAAACCTCAGAAAACGGTTTCATCTGCACGAGGTCGAATTCATGATGGTAAATGTATTTAACTTGGGCAGTCGAATAGGTTAACATTATCTGAGGCCTAGTAATAATAATATTCAAGAGCGATGAGTAGAGAGAATTAAAATGCAACCCAAATTAAAACACATCACACTTGTACACAGATCCACGGAAGGAAACATTCAAATATGAACATCTATTAAGCATTATGCAGCATCTATAAGCATGATGCAGTCAAATAAATCCTACCGATTGTAAGCTAATCATCTCTTTAGGTTTAGATTGATTATCATGATTATTAAAATTATCCCGTGTCGCGGTAATTGTTGAAGAGCACGTTTCCACAACCAACGATGATGTAGTATTATCCATCGTCTCGGAGTTCGTTTGATGCCACTCATTTGAGGAAGATAAATTCAAGGTAGGTGAGTCAGAAATACGTGATTTTCTGTCTAAATTAAAATGATATTCACAATCTCCATTCAATTGTTCATCTTCATCCTCTTCTTCAACAACAATAAACTCATCTGGTCTAGGTTTCGGCAGCCTACGTCTTAATAATCTTGGTCCCAACGGTGGTTTAGGCGATGATGGCAGTGAGGTCAACTGAGGAGCAATCCCAAGTAGTGAGATTTCAACAGCAGTTGAATCATTGTTAGTACTACTACCACTGTTTCTTGCTGTAACCAAGTCAATATTAGATCCAAACCAGTCATTATCTACTACTAGTTGGCTACTTTGAACAGAATCAGGTGGATAATTTAAAATATCAACCAGATTTGTTTGCTGCTGTCTTGGGAAATGATGAATAATATTCGTTGTAGGTAGAAACGGTATTGTCTTTATTACTGGTTGTGATTGTGGAGTTACACTTGAAACTGGTACCTGTGTTTGTTGTTTGTGATGTTGATGAAGAAACAGGTTCTGTCGAAGTTGTTCACGTAAATGAACTAGTGATGCCGAAGATGGATTCAACTGAGCCTGTTTAAGCCACTGAAATAAATTTATATGGAATTGATGCGTACTATTGTTTACAGATGACACACCAGTCATTGAAACAGTTGTCGTTGATGACGATGATGATACAACTGAAGATAATAAAGGAGAGGACGAAACCGTTAAGATCGAGAACGAAGTAGATACATTGTCATTTTGTGGTGCTGACAAATTGTTACCATGAGTATTATCAATACTACTGATAGAATCACTAGCAATGGTATCATCCATAATGATTCCATTATCACTTAATGTAGGTAATAGTGATTTTTTGCCTGTCAATCTGAACACTTCATGCTGCTTTTCGGACTAATCAATAAGACGATTAAAATGCACAAACCCCAGCAACCACAACAAAAGCAATGTGAACATTCAATTGACCGACAAAAAATAGGTGCAGAGCCGACAAATACACACATATGTGAGGCACAAATAACATCGTCATGCATAAGAACGCCATGATATGTCGAATTTATTTCATGTTTAACGCGACAATTGAAGAAAAGAATAACCCAGGTGACCATATTTTAGTACACATTCAATGCCATAAACACAGTTAAAAACCAATGTATAGGTAGTCACGACAGTTGTAAAGTTGGTTGATTTTAACGAAAAAGTAGAAATGAACACGTATAAGGTAAAAAGGCCGAAACAATAATTTGTGGCAGTATCAGTTGTGGATATGAATATAACGTGAGAGTTTTAACAGACACAACACAATTTATATGACACGCCATATCATCGGATGGAAGAGTTGACAGCAAAGCAAAAAGTGAGTACAATGACAACAATAAAAATGATGCACACGGACCGGAAAATGAAGATATCAGGATACACACACAAACATAGCGGTGTAATTAATTAGTAATCAGATGAACACGAGTAGGAGACAGAAGGCAAAATAATTTAAAATGAAATGAATATTACATTATCCAATCCCGTAAATTAAATCAATGATTATGTACGAATACGAGTATGCCGACGCCCCGTGCGTATTTACACGTACACAAAAATAGTGAATGATGCGAAAATGAACATAAAGGACAAACGGAGCAGGGGAATGATAGAGGGGAAAGAAAGACAATAGAGACACATGTTAGTCTTTTTTCGATGAAAATATAATAAAGATACTCATCAACAAACATAAATGCAAAAGAAGTGGTAAAAATGCGGGTCAAACGAAAAGCCTTCAAATCAATCTAAACCAAGAATCTTTTCGTAGCATTTCTATTGTATGTATATGAAAACGTCATTCTAATCATACCTTTAATGTAAAGCAATCGACTGATGTCAAGAGCGAAAAGCGTAGACCATATCACACACACAAACACTGGCATAGCGCATACAAAAAGTTGGGATGGTCAAACTACGCTTTTATCAATCTAAGGCACGAAGATGGAGAGGGAGATAATGACTGTAGCATAACTGATTCAATCAAGGGAGGAAGTTCATTTGATCCTTTCAATTAATTGGTGGCATAAAGGAAGGCATAGGCACACACGAGCATACATTTACACACACTTACTTGGAAAAAGATGTGTACACATATTTATACATCATAAAGTTCACTTACCTCGAGACGTGATATCTTCATGTTATATAAAATGGAAAATAGCAATTTTTATTGAAACAATTAGAGTGGAACAATAGTCATTTACACCACAATCGAAGGTATGCTTAAATCGGCGTTATCTGAACCTCTATTTATATATTAGTCTAAAATAATAATAACACCATTCTTCATCAAATACTCTTCTCTTTATCTCCCTTCTTCGCACGATCTACACAATATCACATTTTCACACTATACCTTCATGTTTCATATCACAATGAAAAGATGACTTTCATTCTCACCCATCCCCCAATAAGAGGCATCTGTCGTTTGCGGACTAATGGTACTACTTGGATGCCTAAACCGTGGTAGGTGGGGTTGCGTTTGGATACGTGACCTATTGGTTGGAAGTCGAATGCCTAGACGAATGAACCACAGCCCTAATCTAATTTTAAGACTATATATCATTTGTCACTTTCCACTTAACAAAATATCTAGGATGAAGATATCAATAGTGCAGTATTCCAACCGATGACTAAGTTTCGTCATCACAACGTTATACACTTCATCGTATAAAGTACTCAAAATATTTGGAACCGATGGTTAATGATATGATAGAAAATGAATAGCGATAACGCAGACGTATTCATCTGGTAAAAAACCACTGACCGTCAATTTATTTTAATTTGTTACTAATTATACTGATTTTCGCTTCCCGTTGCAGCTGAGAAATGTTACAACCTGTAACTAGACACTTCATTGTTACATTTTAAGCTGTGTTGTCTATCTTTAGTTCACTATATATGATTTTGTTAGCGCTGAAATGATGAAACGGTATATAATCTTTCTTCCTAACAAAAAATAGGTGCTTTTAAATGTATCCACTGAACACGATCAAATCTGATATCTGAACGTATATGGGATGAACGCACAAGGTCAACAACTAGATTATCGCCATAACAATAAACAAATAAAGCGATCCAAATATACGGATATCAGGACTGCATTCGTTAGAGTGATCATTCACCACGATAAAACATAATGAAGTAGAAAAGCAAAATAAAATAAACAAAGAGAATACGAAAACAAAGAAGAAGAAGAGAGAAGGTTAAATACTGTGGTGGTAATTATGAATAATGAATAGCTTAGTAGGTGACTGCGATATATTTGAAGCATTATCACTGATAATTTTAGGCTGTCTTTTTCTAACAAATAAAGGACACCAGGATACATACTATTGAACAACACGGGTAGTCAGATACCACTCAAACTGATTTGTAGATTCCGATAGCCAGATTAAAGTGATACAAACACAAAGCAATTGAAAAACTACTCAGCTGTAAGAAATGTCAGCATGGATTGTGCAATTTTTAAATTAACCATCCTATTGAAGGACTGCGCCCAGAAGATGTATACTACTCTAGATAGCTTGGAATAACAATTAAAGACTTCATAGACTGGTACTACATCTTGATGTGGTCATTCTTGGCTCCTTCAAACTAATCTCATTGCTGCTAGCATTTCGGGTCAGGTGAATGGTTGGGTGCTAAAAACTATGATGATTTTCTAAAAAGCCTATTTCATGATAGATGGTAATATCTTGTTGTTGTTTACTTCTGTATTATTTTTGTCAAAAAGTGAAATCCAAATTCACTTTTAGCGCAACAAATTGATTTATTAACTACCACATTCAAATCAGCTGATTGTTTATACCATCAATGTTACGATGTTTGCTACAAATATTACGTATTTATAATATGTTGATGTGCATAATACGGGTTTAAAAACACCCCTCTGAAAATAGATTGTAGTGCCTAACATATGAATAAGCTAGTGAGTTGCTTTTTCAAGTATTCTCATACATGTAATGACTGAATGTATCATCTTTATCCTATTAGTTGTTCTCGCATGCACCACACTGGCTAATATTCCGCTTTTACTAATACCTGAGTTTGTCTTTGTTATTGAATCATCCAAGTGCTTAATCTCTTTGTCTGTCTGATATTTGAGTTCTGTGTAAATACAAGTACGATTCCTGTTCTACAAACACATGTCAACCTGAGTTTACGAGTACCAATCGGGACAGATAGTTCACAATCCTATTTCAAAAACATTACACAGCAGGTCATGGAATTAATCGCCATGCAACCATAAAAAATGTGATACATACATATTCTATAGGTTAGTTACAATGAAAACTCAAATCCTAAGCTGTGAAAGTCATATATATACTGTAAAAGTTAACAACATAGCTAGAAAAGTCACTATACAGCATTAAATCAAGCGTAATTTTCAATTTTGACAGTAAATTCTTCAAGGTCTCGCATCATTTATCAGCTTACTATTGTAATCTAAACCAAGTCATAAAAACACCGCTTGAACATTGAAAATTCAGTCAACCTAGTATCTGATGCCTGATTATCAAAATTTTTTATGCATTTATTTAGCACAATTATTTCGTAAACACTTCATCACACATTCAATGTTGCTGATATTGAAACAGAAAATGTACTTCCACACGACTGCATACGAAGCGACTAAATAATATGCTTAGAATTTTAAAGTGACCTTAAAGGTCACCCTAGCAACAACTGAAATAACCAATCGCACTTCTCTATTTCATGAAAATCTGCCTTTCCAGTCTAGATGAAGAAACCTAATTGGTTATTTCGGTCGTCGCTAAGGTGGCCTTTCAAGTTGTCCAAATTTTGAACATAAGAAATCTCAGTTTAATCAATGTAATATATATGAAGAATTTGAATATCAATCTTACTACCAACAGATATAAACAGAACATCTATTATTCTATTCTCAAACTTCTCCGTAATAAGCATTTATTAGTCTCATTACAGTTAAATGGACAGATAATCGATGACAAGTAAGCTAGTTTGTGGATAGTAGCAAGGAGATAACGTGATTCAACTAACAACTAATTGTTGATCAATAGCAAATTATAGCCCATAGGCTATGGTATAACAAACACTGTGATGTAACATGGTTGACTGTTATGAATGCCTAATACTGACAAATATAAGGATAAGATGATGAAACCGTGTAACATTCTTAGCTTGTCGATAATGTTTCAATTACTAGGGAAAGTTGGTAAAAATATCAATTTTGATTTATTTCAAATTAACCGTATACATGTTTACGCACCAGACTAAGAGTCATACTTATTCTTTGAGGGTGTGTATCTCAACCTGGGATCCATCGCTTGAAATTCGATTGTTCAAGCCAGTAAACAACATCCCTTCCTTGATGAAAACTACCGTTTGAAATAAAGCAGAGTTATTAATACTGTAATTTTAAAAAATTATAGACTTGAATCTTACCTCAGCTTTCTTACTACCACCACTTATATGATGTGCCTGCTGTTGATGATGAAGAGGATGTGGATGATGTAACTTCTGTGGCATAATACTTGAATTCAGATGTGAAGATACTAGTCGACTTGAATGTGAGCGGAGTTCAGGTTGATCAGAATGAACTTTAGAATTATTGTTCACAGATGTAGCAACAACAGAAGTGTTTGTAGTAGTTGTAGAAGTATTAGTAGTTACCGATGAGATCATTGCATTGTTTGAACGAGATCGGGCTATATTTAGTTAGTTGAATAAAAATATCATGAGTTACCATGTAAGAGTGACATTGTGAAGAAGGATAAAGAAGAAATCATAACCTGTTACAAATACCTCAAGACGGTGATCTCACTATGGTTCCCAAGCAAACAGTGTTAATAATAATAATAGGTAGATAGATAGACCGATAACGATGTAATAAATCGTAGCGTCTATGTTTGAAACTGGAAAGTTCCAGTTACCTACTGTTATGGATTTGAGGATATGAACGGTTGACACGTCACCAAAACAGGACGCAATCAGATGACTTACGCAGAAAAAAAATTAATTAATGAGTTTGTGAGCATTTATCTACTCGGATGTCTAAGGCACGTTTTATGTATACCGAATCACTGTCTGTTGCGTTTCCCAACGTCAAGTGAAGTATGTTTAGCCTGGTAAACAGTTAGAAGCAAACAGAGAAAAGCATGATATAAGTCCATAAAGTCTCTGACTGCTAATCTGAGCTGTGGACGAAAATGTAGGCTTCCCATCTGAAGCTTGCGTAAAAACCAAAAGCGTTAGTTGGAGACTAGGTGGTACGGGTCACTACATTATATATATATATATATATATATATATATATATATATATATATATATGGCTTAGAATTGATGTCAGCAGAGCAGATGTATCCACACAGTATCTTCATCTCAATTACTGTACTAAAGTCGCCATTTTCTCATTCCTTCTTCCTACTTTTTACAGCATTCTGCAGCTTCTAACCGAATCTGAATTTTCTTTATTGCTTCATCTTATATCGTATTGCTTTGTTACTTCTGTTAATAATATTAGGTGTGGCAACTTGAACCATTACACAGTAATGCATATATATGCCAATTTTGAAGGCATGATGAAGACGAACATAAATACCACATGTTAGACTTGTCACTTATGGTCATCAATCTGTCTACAGAAACACCAGATGGCAAGTTTACCTAATAATTGAGTCTTGCCTTGATGACAAACGCAGGCATTCATGTAAGCGTTCGAACATGCAGACACAGAAGTAAAAATAACGATCCTTTTGATTTTCAAAGGAATGACAGTTTAAAAGCAGTTATGCAACTTGCATACCTGCTGGAATTTTAAAATGGACAAAAGGATGGGAGTGCATCAGTAAAGGTTACAAAACTTAAATTCGCTACAAGTGGAAACATGGATACTTTCTATTTCAAGTCGTGATTTTCTTAGGGACCTCACATTTTACTATATCTACCGATTCTGAAACTACTAAAATTTGAAATCTCATCTTTCAGCAGATTTCAGCCTATCATTTATTTCCCTAGTAATTGGCTCTGGCTTTCTTCCTCAATCGACACTTTACATTTTTACTGCGCTGAAGACACATATACAAAACACAAGTCAGGAACTAGAAACAACATTGCAAATCACTCTACAAACTAACCATTTTCATTAACTGAGGATGCATGGTGTACCGGAGATCGATTATTCAACCCGGAGGTTAAATGTGATGCAACCGATTGTCGCATAAAATTAGGATTGAAAGCTCCACTTGTTGCAGTAGTCGTTGTGGTTGTCGCGGCGAAAGCCATTGCAGCTCCACTAGATCGATTAACAGGACTCGGTATACTAACATTATTCGATAATTTTGTTTGGCTAACGACTGCATTCGCTGAACTGATAATTGAATGGGGCAAAGCTGATTCTAGTGGTGGCTTTCGAAGATCTAAATGTGGTACAGGCTTTAAAGAAGTGCAAGATATAAATGAATGATAAATTAGACGAAAGAATAACGTGCTATTGAACGTCAGTCAATTTGTGAATATCGCTGTTCATAAGTGATTACAAATAGTACATTAGAATGGTCATATCCAAATTTCAATTTCAATATGTTTATATTTATTTTTACAACTAGAAGAAACGATATTTTATTCAAGTGATCCAGTAGGGCTTAAGTTGGAAAACAGATCTTCGTAAATAAAAATAACAATCCATGTCTGTGACACTGACTATCGTTTAACCCAATAGAAAAAAAATGTGCTTCATCACGAACAATTATAGGAAACCAATGAGCACTAGAGTTGTATTACCCTAGGAAATACAGTGGTCATCTATTGGAACTTATACCAATTTACCCTCGGATGTGACAATCACTTACCAATAGCTTTGATTAACCCTACAGGCTAAAACTTCCTACTGAACCTTCCAGTATAACATATTAAAGTATACTGGAAATGAGAAATGTATTATGACTCAGTTCAGTAGTTTGAATGAACCATTTCCCACTCACGGAAAACTCATTTCGAAATATCCGTCTGTACTGTTAACTTAACTTCCATCAATAAAGTGTTATCAACACAACTAAACTAAACCTTATAAACGAATGAAAGACACAAGAAAAATAGACAAATTTCACGTTTACTGACTAAAAATAACAAAATGCTACATGAATAACAAGTATGTCAATGAAACAAATACTAAACAAACCTGACTTGTTGGACGAGCTGAGGGGAATTTCGGTGCAACTATATGCTGATGACGTGAACTAGCAGCAAGTGGATTTGATACCCCATTTAACTCGTCAGATTGATTAGTTCCAGATACTGGTACATTAGAAACTCCATGTCCTCCACCATTCAATACACTATTACCGATACGAACCTGCTGGTGAAGTGGGACAGGTGGTGGACCAGGATTTGCAAGTTTTGCACGAAATGGTGAAACAAGTAAATTACCCAGAGCATCATTTGAAGGCATCGACGGTGATGATGATGACGTGACAGCAATTAGATGAAAAGAATTGAGAGGAGGATTTGGCTATGAATGTTGAAGCATCATAAGTATTTTTTAGAGCAAATATTTATCAGCATCCGCAACATGCGTCAGACCAAAATTAGCATGCAGTAATCAAAAAGAAAAGTCAAACAATGAAATCTCTCGCCAGCTAGCATGCAAAAATTATATATGAATCACAAGCAAATTGTAATACTGTTTACATTCCATAAACCATACAACTTCAGAGTTATAGAATAAGAAAAAATGTTTAACTGGGATAGTCGTCACAATAAACTATGAAGCAATGATGAACATCGCCTGACACTGGAATCTAAGACACACCTTTTGTTCTATTCAGGACTCATTAGCTGGATGTATCTATTTTTCAATGAGATCATAAAAGTGAATTGAATCAAATCACTCGTTCTAGGTTATTTGATTCAATTTTATACAAAAGGATGATTACTAAAACTTACAAAGAGCAAACGAAACGCTAAGAAATGATTTGAACTATAGCTTCATATTGTTGAATAACAGTTCAGTGAGTCCACCAGTTAAATACAACTTTTATTCTAAAAGATTATTTGAATGACGGATAAGTGTCACACTTATTTTTCATCCACATATCCTCATTCTAATTCTAACTGACAATTGTAATTTCCATAGGATACCACTACTTATCTTCCAATAAGAACTTATATCTTATACAACCTCATAATTAATCTGTCGATGTCATTCGATTCTACTTAAAACGATAAATTTCAGTTGATCATCCAGTAACTTGAAACACGATTATCATAACTTTCGTATTTGAAGGCATATTGCAGAAAGGCATATATTTATCAAGACTAAAGAAATACAATATATCAACAGAGTACGACGAATCGTAGTACTACCAGATACGTAACTAATGATAAGAATAAAGACATTTTGAAATAACTTCAATCCAACTTGGTTACTACAGTAAGGTGGAAAGCATCGGAAACTCATTGAGTGGTGACAGAAAAACCTCACAAGAATGGCATCTGAATACTGACATCTTAAAAGACATCCATATAAGCTATATCTATTGCAATGATAATACAACACTTAAATCAGGAATACTTTTCTAAAGAGTATTTTGTCTTCAATAGAGGTGTTATTTCTCGCAAACTCAGGAAGAAATTGTATTGATCTATGTGTTTATTGTTTAGCTGAATCTATGATTTAGAAAGTGACGAAGGGGAGTTAGCAATGTTAGATTGCAAAATAAAAATGAAACAAGTTGTAAGTTTAGAGACCAGTGCTTATTGGAAACCTTCCCATTTGAATTGCTACTTAGACTTTAAATCATCTCATTCCATCTCAATTAAAGTAGGCCGAGTTAAATGTCACAGTAACAAGGGAAAAAAGCTTACTAGTAGGACAGAGAATCTGAGACAAGAAATTAAAAAAATTAAGAATACTATAGATCTCAATAGCCACCATTCATAAGAAATCGTAAGAATGACATTAGCAATAGGAGTTATACGTGTTAGTACTACTACCACTACTACAAACAATAACAGTGATATTATTAATAGTGACAGGCTAGAAAAAGAATTCAAGACCGCCGCTGTGGTACCATACATAAAAGGTACCACGGAAGCGTTACGAAGAATCCTCAATAGGGTTCAGATTATCTTTGTAGGTTAAAAGATCATATCTGATCCAATTAAGCGAAATAACTTGGTCTATTAAATTCATTGCAGTGACTGTAAGGTCCAATATTTAGGCAACAGTAGCCGATCAAGGTCAATTACGCCAACAAGGCAAAAAAACTTGGCAAGATCAAAATTATTAGATCCTAATAAGATACAGAATGTAGAGAAAAGGTCGGCTGTAGCTATACATGCAAGTGCACACAAACACACAACAGAGTGGGATAGAAATACAGTATTAAAAACTAAGTTGGGTTAAGGGAGAGATTGATAACCGAATCTTTGCTTATCAAATCAACACCAAATACATGTAATAGAAACGTTTCTGCACCTGCACCTGTTTTAGATATACAGAAAATTTGAATAGGCTTGTTAGAAAGATTGAGAGAGAATTAGAACCATATAAATCATATCTCAGAATTTTGGAGTCACCTGATATGAATACAGACAATAATACATGCCCGAAACCGTCACACAGTAAATAATACTGTTCCACTGTGTGATACATCTAATAAACAGGCTAAAACGGAATTACAACCAGCCACAGAGTTCAAGTTTTAGTCCTACATTGCTTGGCTTTAGTATGTTAAGATCTCTTACAGCTTAAACAGGAGAATAGTTTCGACATAAGTCGAGTAAACTAAGCAGTACGTTTTTATCAATCATACTATGGGCATCTGGATGAAGGAAAGTTATTTGTGGACAATAGAATCAATGATTTAACTGATCAAGCAAAAGCATTCAAATTTTTAGAGCATCAGATGAATCTCATTAAGTTTTTTGAAGGATGGGATTACTTGGTTATAAACAAAATCGGAATGTGTGAAACTATTTATGAACAATTTGCATTGATCTGTTAATGAAGATGGAATAAACTAGTTGTTACTTCAAGAATGCCCAAGAATTAAACCAACACAAAATGTGATAAAGGAATTGAAATGCAAACAAACAAAAGGAAACCGAGTGAAACCAATTGTTAAGCTTAGATAATAAACAGTATTCGAGTAATTGAGATTAGAGGTTAATACAACCTGATGATTAGATATGATCTTCAGACATATCCCTGGAGCTTTAAACAACATCAAATCCCAATGCGCTATACCTAATCTGCACAATTCGTATTATTAGTATATTTAGAAGTAGTATTCATCATGGACCGACATCAGTTGGGGAACCATTGAAAATCTGGGAGCACTGGACAGTTGTTTCGTCCTAGTATGGGACTCCTTAGCAGTATGCACTCACGACCCGGCTAGGGGTCGAATTCAGGACCTTCAGGTTTCACGGGGAACGCGTTAACCATTCACCTCTAATGAGAAGCCGTGACATGTGTGGTCAACCAGTCAGAAGTGAAGTGGATGCTGACTGAAGACCTTAGGTGACAGTCGCGCTATGTTGTGAATTGACAGAAGTTGGAAACTGTGAACCACTGGAAACCGACCCAGTGGTTGAATGGTTAACGCGTCCGCCGTGAAACCTGAAGGTCCTGAGTTCGACCCCTAGCCGGGTCGTGGGTGCATACTGCTAAGGAGTCCCATACTAGGACGAAACAACTGTCCAGTGCTCCCAGATTTTCAATGGTTCCCCAAATGATGTCAGTCCATGATGAATACTACTTCTAAATTAAAAATCCCCATTCGTCTCAAAAATATATTAGTATATTCATAAAATAATTTAGAAATGCAGGGGTGATGTGAAAAAGAATTAAACTTCATAATACAAAAAACAGAAAATCTTGAAATGCACAATATGAACACCTGCAAATCATTCACACTAATCTGCAGATTTCCCTAAACGAATGAGAGTAATGTAAACACTGTGGAAATTTATTTCGGCCATTTGAAACAGACCTGAACAGTAGTGAATGAAGACAAAGTCAACTTAGACAACCGACTCATTGAGAATTGAATTAATCAACCTATCATGAACCAGACACCTGATTTGTAATTTATTTACGGCATTCTTAAAACATTAATGGTTTTACACTGCCAACCACGGGAATTCAGAGATTTTTCAACAGAAATCATCCAATCAAGATTATAAATACACACCGATGATGAGATAATAGTACTAAACAAGGCGGTTGACAAAAAACCCAATAAAATTTGTGCATGCGATAGTAGTAATGGTGATAATATATAATTCTGAATACTTTTCACAACATATTTCTATTTCTATAGTCTGGTAATACATACAAATAACAAAATCACGTGTTCGATTATAAAATTAAGGTTAATTCGAATAGTAAGTTAATGTATATTACTGTGTCATTCTCTCATATAAGAACAATGGATAATATAACTAAAAAAAATGCCTTGCTAAACATTTGCGAAGCTAAGCGAGCCAGTATCAATATGGCACAGTGATCCAAGTTTTCACGTTAGCACATCAAAATACGAAAGAAAATGATGAAAGACAGAGGAACACACATAACACCATTCAAAGCTGCAGAAAGTCATAAGAAAGAAGAGAATGAGCAACCAACGAAATACGGTATTATGTGGAGGTTACTGAATTACATACAAGGTTATATTTTATTCAACTCTCTATCTACTTAGATAATTTAGTCTAAAGTATATCATCTGTAAGCGACCCTGTGAATGAAATCGATTTCATGGAGAATCTTGTATAACTCTTTTAAAGTGTGTGTGTGTGTGTGTGGGGGGGGGGGTTCCGACCGCATTTCGTAAGCATCCAACTGGCTATATGTTTATCTTATTCAATGGCCAATCCAACTCAATGAATTGTCAATTCCATGACCTCGTAGCTCAGTTGGTAGAGCATCGGGCAGGAAACCCGCAGGTCACTGGTTCGAATCCGGCCACAGTCAAAATTTTCATTTCACCTTCAATCATCACCCATTTTAAATACTAATCTGCCAGACCACGACTATCTCAAATAGTCAAAATGATAATCAACACGATGCCCCCCCTCTCTGATTCTAGCTAGATTTGGATTGGGATGAGAATTCCTGATTAGACAGCCAATGTGAACACGATCAAGCGGTAGCAACGCATCACAAATTCATATAGTAGTCCGGCAAAACCCATATTGACTGAAGTGAAATAAAAATCTAGTCAGCAGTCGGATCTCGTAGCTTGGTTGGCAGGGAATCGGCTTGGCATCCCATGGATCGCTAGTTCGAATCCGGCAGCGGATCAAACTTTCATTTCACCTCCAATCATCACCCAGTATAAATTCTATGATTTTCTAGTCTATTGCAATAATAACTTAAACCTGTTAGATTTTTTTCTGAGCTAGAGGTGATTAAATTTGAAACAAAAATTGCTCCAAAAATTAATGTTTGTGCATAACAATTGGCAGAGTAATTTTTTTAAAATGAAGCAAATAGCACTAGAATAACAAAAAGTCTAGAATATTTTATTCGTTGAAAACATTGATCATCCATTTTTAGGAGTAGTATAAATAATAGGGGAAAATGGACTAAACATATAAATATTTCAATAACACAATGTTCATGGATCAGTACGGTGCAGTAACATATTCAATAACGTGATGTGATGACTTTTACGCTGATAATTATTCTAAATACACCTAAAAAGAATCTCAACAGTATATATGATGGTCGGATGAGAGTTTTATCCTATTTCGGATTCATCATCCTATTGAAATTGTGAGAGTGAGTTCTGACGTTCTTACCGAGACCTGGAACCAGTTCGTATCACTTTCAACCGCCAGAGACTTGAATGTTAGGTTAATGACTTATTGTAGCTACATCTTGTCTAGTGTGATTGAATTGAAGATTGTGATCCCAGTGATTCCATCTTTTACTTGATATTATTATCTAATATTATATGAGTTATGAAGGGAATTTATGTAGGGAATATGATACAGTCATCAAGGGAATCACGGAAATAAAGACTGCAACTTGTATCTTTATCTTTTCAGACAAAAGCTGCATTTGAAACAGACCCAATGGTAAATAAATAATTAAAAAATAAGACAACGATGCGATTTCCAACAAAGAAGTATCATTCATACAACAAAGACGGGGATTTGAAAGGAAATACCCATTATTCGTTTAGAAGGCAAGATAAGAAATCACTGATGATATAACCAAACAGTAATCATTTGGGAAAATAAATAGAGTGCAAAAAAGCTTCAGAATGATGCATAAACAAATTTGAACGATTAGCAATTCAGAGCTTTGAGTATCAAGCTAATGGAAATGTTCATACTTTTGACAATAAACGACATCATTCGAGTACCAACGATAATGCTGATAGAGCAGAAATTGAAACTGTTAAGTGATCATTACTAAATGAGCACTCAGAAGTATTAAACACACACACACAAGTATGTTAACAAAACTTCGTGAATAAATTGAACAAATATTCATTTTTACTTTCAATAAAGAAAGATACAACCTATTTAGTGCTATTCTAATATTAGTAAGAAAAAAAACTATTAAATGGATGTCATTGATGAACAGTGGCTATCAGTAGAATGCAGGTTCCATTTCATTCGGGACTCGCCAACTGGATGTATCTGCCTCCTAGTGAGCGATGTTGCTCCCACGAAGACTTCAACTCAAAACCGATCGCTTCAAATGCCAAACCATTATCCACCGAGTCACGATAGCCACATTTTTTGCGATGATTATAATGTAACATAGAGACCGATCAATTCGGTCCAATCAATGATGGCTTAATACAAGCAACATCATATTAAATTGATGGCTTACATTTCATAGTAGCTAGTAGTGGAATCCAGGAAATGTGTTTTAACCTTGTATGATTTTAGTCAAATGGATGTATCTGCCTGCTGTTAAGTATATTGGTTCTGTTCTGCAGGGGCTATTAAGTTGAAGCTCTAAACAATAAACACCAATAGTCTAAGGTACATTAAGTGGAAAAGCTGTAAAATGCAAAATGAAACAGAAAATAGTCAGTTTAGGGTTTTTCCAAACAAGTGGTCTGAATAAAAGCCAGTGGATTAGGTGTAGTTGACAAAAGTTTTTTGAGAATCTCTTATGAAATTCATAAATAGGAGTGAAAAAAATGTATACAAAAGCAAGTTTTTCTCCCCTAATAAATAATTATAATAATGATAATACCACATGTTCCCCAATCAAGAAAACTATTTTACTAAAATTCAAAATGAAACTTAGTAAATCTGAACCTTTTGCTTAGTCAGTCAACCAACTGGACAGATTTCAGGATAAAACTATAACGTCACTGAAATAAATTTATTTGTATTTTAATTTAAAAAATAAGTCGTAAATGTATGCTTAAAACATCTTAGTGAGACATGATTCACTTCCTGTAAGCCTGTTCATTGTCTAAATTTAAGATACAGAAGGACTCATAAGATATCTGACAATACTTGAATGAGTACGCTGAATTTGACTGAAATTACTTGTCAAGTAATTAAGACTTTATTTTATGTGTATACTGATGATTGAAGTCCACCATTCAAGCACACTATCCAGTGAGCTACTTTATGCAATTGATAACCAAATCCTACACGTACTTTGGGAAGTGTAAGAAAGCTACTTACGATTGTTATTCTGGTTTCACAATTCATCTATCAGAGGACTCGATCAGTAACATAGATGCCGTTCGTTGGCTTCCTACTTCGATGACTACCTTCATATTGGAAGGTATCTCTGCTAGTGAAAGCTATCCCAGTTGTTCCCATGGTTGCTAGCAACTAGTCCGTAAAACTCAGAACCTAATCATTATTCAGCATACCTCATACTGTTTTCTTGACGTGTATGTGTATAATCCTAAGGAATGAAATAACGGCGTAAAAATGGAAAGGGAAGATATTCATGCGTGGAAATCGACAAAGTACACAGTTAAATGAAATTTTGAACGACAACAACGACTACTAACCACAGATGCTCTATGATGTTGCAGGGGGAAGTGATGTGGATGCTGTCCACTGCCGCCACCACCAACTGCACTGATAGCTGGCACAGGTGTATTAATCGAACTAGTAACTGAAGTAGCTGTGAACACAGTCACATTGCTAGATATCGGATGACTATCTACACATGTATCCAGTAATGTACTAGACGCAGAAGTAGACGACGTATTATGAGAAGATATAGGAGAGGGGCCACCTGCACCAGCAAGACGACTTCCAGCGGCTAGAACACCCAATTTTGGTTGATTTGAATGCATTTGTTGTTGCTGTTGTTGTGATTGCTGTGACTGATGATAAGCTGGTGGTGCACGACTACTGTTCAAAGGTCGCGAATGTTGTGGGAAATGATGACCAGATGATTGGGAACGTCCATTGGCAGACCGCTGAGGTGCAACACCTACAGCTGGATGATGTTCGCGTTCCTAGGATGAAGATGATAAATGAATTTAGTTACACATACACACGCGCATAGATACAACTTCTTTAAGCCGATAAATATATACGTGGATAATGTAAACAGATATTAAATAAAAGGATAGCCAAGCTAAATGTTTACATAACCGTACTTTTTTCCGATGAACTTGTGACAAAAAGCATAACATCAAGGCATAAATAAAAGCTAACTTAGGCAAGCATAAAAAGACACTATAGCAATGAATGAACGAAATAATTTTTTAAGTGAAATTTTATACATGGGGTTAGTCAAATTGGAAATATGAGGTAAGCACCTAGAGGAAAATCATTAAGAACATACTAAGGATTTAGTCACTACAATTAGAATTTAAAAACAGCAAATTATACATGTGGTAATAAGAATTTTTTGAAGAATGCGTAGTTGTGCTATGAAACCAATGATGTTTAAACGAAATGAAAGATTTACGAAGTGAGAACAGCAAAACAATGTCGATGCCACCTTTCGGTAAAATGGTATGCAGTTCACGTGACTGTTTACAGTTCACATAGATATGCGATGTTGACTAAACAATAAGTTCTGTTTTGAAAGGCTTTAGGAGATCAGATAACAATAAATTTAAATAGTCCATAGTTCGGTTTTCTGTAAATAGAACAGTGTGCCGCAGTAACCCATCTTAGTAATTATTAAGCTTGCAGGGCTGACAATCATTACTTAGCCTACTTATTTTTTAACCAGTGTGTCGGCGTTTGCATGTCTTCACCACCTATCAATAAACATAAAAGGATTACTACGTTTCATAGTCTACCATAGTCTAGCATAGTCTATCATGAAGGTATTATTGCCTTCAAAACACTTCAGTAAATGATGAAGTTCATCATGGACTAATATCAGCTGGAGAACCATGGGAAACATAGGAGCACTGGACAGTTATTTCGTCCTAGTATGGACCCCTCATCAATGCGGACACATGACCGCATCAGGGTCAAACCCAGGAATTCCAGGATCTGCGACCAGCTTGTTACCATTGAGTCACTGAGTAGGTATGGAACGGTCAATTCATGATATAGTGGCAAGAAACAGCTGCCAAGTTCTCCTAAGTTTCCAGTGATTCACCAACTTGTGTTAGTCCATGATGAATATCAACCTAAAATCAATAAATAAATCGCCACAAACATCCAAATTGAAAAGCTGAAGTTGTTGAATGTTTTAGAAAATAACATTCAATTATGCACACACGCACATACGAACATAAGTAGAAATCAATAGACATTTAATAATAATAATAATAACAATAATAATAATAAATCCAATGAACTAGCAGGACGAATATCAATAATAGTTGTAGCCGTTTCGCATAATATATAAATATCCTCAAGTTCATACTTTTATTTTTAAAAAAGATACTGAATAAAGTACACAGGATTCATTATTAGGGGTAATAAAACTCATATGACGCACATACATACACAAAGCTATAGAGTAGTAAAGTTAGATAATAATATAGAACAAACTAATACAAAAAATCTGCATAAAAATTCAGTCGAAGTTTATGCGAAGATGATGGTTGTAACTAAGTTGACAGAAAAGCCTGGATTAGATTAAAACTAATAGCAGTTTTAGGAGTATTAGTCTCATGATCTACCACTACTATTAGTTCAACTTATGCTAACCAGATTTTAATCTCACCATTCAAATAGACAACCAATGTTTATTGCTCCACAAGTAAGTTAGACACAAGTATTCACTGCGCATTTCATCATGCCATAAAGTAAGTTAAATAATTTAACACAATATGAGCTAACATTAAGTAAGAAATAATCAGTGACTGATAAGCAACTAGGCCACTTATGATAAATCTTGATTGGAAGTTTGTGATACTACTGAACAAGGATGGAAATAGTCAATCAGAACTTCAATGGAAAGACTTTAATTGGTAACTTCATATAAAAATTAGCAAAATAAGTAAGATAACCATTGGATAGAAAACCCAGTTATAAAGCTTTAAATGAAATGTTATGGTCATTAATCAAGACCTTGCAGTAGACAGTCTTATTTACTAATGATGAAATATACTATTGTTAATGTTGTTATTTTAGAGTAGCTGTTACAACAGAGTAACTTCAGTTAAAGAATCACTTTAAAACATGTAAATACGTTCCTCTCTTGTTTCGGACTCAGAACCCTGTAAAGGATCAAACTGAGGATTGATAGATTTCCTGGTGAACCACTGAGGTAGAGATTAATGTTCCGCTTTCTTATACTTTCTTTGAGGAGTCTCAAAACAAACGAAATAGCTGGTCAGTACTCCTACTTTCCCTATGGTTCTCCAACTGATATTGATTCGTCATAAAAGTGATTTCAAAGAATTATATAGGGATTATAATTGTTTATCTTACAAGAAATAGGACAGATAAATACAATGAGGTGAACGACAAAACTATTGCATTTCATAAACAAATAGATATGCAGAATTCACACCGAGATAACAAAAACATTACCATGGAGCGATATGTGCATCGTATAAAGTAGTCTGTACATTAATGCATATGCTCATACAGAGGAATGTAATAAAATAAAATAAAGGGAATCAAAGTAAGTATAAGATATGGTAGTGATATAATCATGCTTTTCGTATACATGAGCTATGACGTTTATACGTAAGTAGGATATATACTACAGTTTATAAGCGAGCGGTATGAAAATTTGTAGAACCAAACATGCATACTTCAATTCTGATCAGGCAACAGATCCTGTTTACAGATGCGGTTCGTTTACGCAAATAAAATACAATCCTAATTTTTTAATAGTTTTCATCTAAACAACTGCGAAATTAAAAAAATCAAGTTAAATCAAATTTATGAATTGGCAAGTACTCTGACTGGTTTAAAGATTACAACCTCCATGACAAGTGCTTAAAGGATTTACATGTTCATCGCATTCATATGACCTTTGGAAAGAGGTTGTAATGATGGTAGATACCTGCTGAGGAGTCTCAGGATTGAGTGAAACAATTATCCGACATCGAGTATGAGGTAAGTTTTGTGCAAAAACGGAAGATACAAATAATCCAGTAATGCTTGACTATAACTGTTACAAATCCTTCCTATGTGTTAAACGCAATGTACTGAATGAAGAATGTAAGACATCAATATACACCTCACATAATGACTTATAAGCAATTAAGGTGTTCTAGGAGTTGAACATTTAAAAAGAAAACGAAAATCATCACAGAGATGACTGGGAAAGATAAGGAAGTGTTAATTGTCAAGCGCCAGGCGAACTACATACACACATCTGCACACAGCTAGATCTCGTGCATGGAAACTACACAAATTTATTGCATTGAGGAAAATAACCTTTAGTTAACCACAGCTAAACTTTTACTGGAAAAAAAATAAAGTATTTAGATTTATGCATATGGGATTATAGAACAAATGCAGGATACGAAAGTTACCTGAAGACGAGCGAAGTTTTGACGTAGTGTATTTTCACCTGCCTCTTTAGCATTCACAGTAGCTGATTCACCTTCATCTAATCTTGATAACCTATTATTATTAGGCATCATTGATTGAGGAGTAGCAACAGGCAGTTTATTAATTGCAGAAACAGGATTGCGTGAAACGAACCGAGAATTCACTGGTAGGTTATCACTTACAGCATTACTGCTTGACAGTAAAGGTGTATGTTGCTTGAAGTTTAATCCTGTAGCTGACGGTGGGATAAAAGGTACAAATTCATTTTGGTCAGAAACACCACTAGATCGAATCATTTGATTAGGATGAGGTTTATCTGTTGGCTGGCGATACTGTGGCGGGTGATGACTGATTTGACTAGGTAAACGATGTCCTTGACCACTGCCACCAGCGGCAGCAGCTGACATGGCTAAAGCAGCTGCTGCAGCTCCTTTAGCGGCAGCACTAGTTTCGTCTTCTTCCTCTTCATCACTTCCCTCATATTCATAGATCTTTTCATGTTCTTCAGCTGTTGAAAGATAAAAAGTGACCATATTAATAATGCATGGATAGCAGCATCGTGTATAACAGCATATACATCATACGATAAACACCTAGCGGTTTCACTTCCCAACTGAAGCGACTCGTTAACTCAATTAAAAAAAAACTTAAAAAGACCAAACTTCTACACAGAAAAGCACTACAAAACTGGTAAAAATGAAAAATATTTAACAATGTAAGGAGATGAAAACCACACCAGTTAATGTAAGCTACTGGCTTCTAATACAATCCACTACTTCAGAAAGAAGTTTACCAAAAAATGTTAGTTTCTCAAACACACAGTCAGGTACTTCATTGGGCAATTACACTGCCTTGGTCCGACCACCTTAAGGTTTGTCCGCTTAATTTCTATAGAAGTTTTATAAACTTCGAATCAAAAGCGACAACGGCTGATCCTGTGTAACATGTTTCCTTATGTGAATAACATCATCACAATAAGCTGTACATCCAAACGTAACAGTGCTTATATCATTGTTCAATCAAAAGAAAGTCAACAGTTTGAAAGTAATGGCTGTCAATAACCTTCTGATGAAATCTAGCACTAATAAGAAAGATAGAGGTAGATATTCCTTGGCAAACAAGTCAATATACTAACCAATAGTCAGGCAGAATTATTCTCTAAGCTGATAGTCATTGTGAGCAAAGCTAACAATAGCATTCTAGTCATTATTAATAGTACAAGTTGAAGGTTGTACTGGTTAGGAAGTTGACCATAATGTCATTGAAAGCTTGTCTCACAGAAAATATCAGCTCACACATCCACAATATGAACTGCAGATATTCTTAATCATTTCAAACCCGCCAGTGTCGAATCGAGTAAAAATTAACTAGTAAGGCATCATATTAGCTGCAGGCAAGCAAATTTAACATTTATAAAGCCAAATCAGAGTAACTGACAAACGATTTTAATTGCATTTTCAAGAATAATACAGTTTCCTTTTGATGAAGGTTTCTCGACAAAAACTGATTGGAAAAGAACGGTAAATTGCTTGTTAGAGATGAGGATATCAATATAGTATTATCACAACGGACAACTATGTATGAAAGATGATTTAGCTTGTAAAGATGATTAAATCCTTTCTTATTTATTGTCTAAACAGTTTTCTTTCAAAACTGTTACCTATATGCTAAATATGCGAAAAGAGAACGGAAAATATGCGTCAGTTATAAATGCAGATCACTTACAATCTGTACTGAAAAAGTGGAAATATAATTAATCGGATGGTGCAGACAGCTTCAAACTAGTGGGTCACTAGTTGAAAAAAGTTTGACCAGTTAAGGTAGTCATAATCAAAGGTGTGACTTACGATCGTTGTATTGCAAGAACTTATGCTTAGTTGCATTGTTCTATTATTTTGAAAGATTGTAGCTTTTGAAAATTTAATTTCTGAGATAAAGTTTAAAACAAACGCTATTGAGAACGTTCATCGATTGAGATGGTTTGGACAGACGCTAAGCATGCAGATTCACCGCTTACCGTGACGAGTAGTGCTGGGGAGGGGGGGAAGTTGGATTAGTTTGGAACAGAGTTCAAGGTGGCCAGACTATACGTGTTACCAGTACATAAAGTCCTTGTATATTGGTCTGAATCGTGTAGGGAGGTGTAGACTATTTACCTGGGGTCCCCAAGAAGATAATAATTAGTAGTTGAGGTCTCTTGCTAAAATGGCTGAAATGAGTCGTAATGGTGCAAACGTATTCACTTTTTGATGTCTTCTAGTGCTTGAGTGTCTTTGACCAAACTTCAGTTTTAAATTCCTTCTCCTCCCATATATCACGTCTTTTTCCATCCACTTGTTTTTTGCATGGTAATGTGAAGTGTGGTAACTTAAAACGATGCGATTATGTACAAGGTTCTACGCTTATTTTGTCTTTCTCTGTCTATCGTTTAGTTTACTTAACTTTCACTCGATATATAATAAAAGAGAGTTAGCAGTCCCAATACTTTTAACAGATTACAGTAAGATGCTTAAGCCGTAGTATGATAGTATGTTGTCAGTGTCTTGTACATTGAAACAATACATGAGAGGAAATTCTTACTGTTAGTCGGGTGCATATACAAAGAAATCGAGGTAAGAACTGGTACAACAGTGCATTAGCTTAATTCGCCACATATCACAGAAATATGCAAAGAAAACGTAAAGAGAAAAAAGAACCACAATAAAGTAGGACAAAGTATATGAGAGAAGAGAGAATAAATAGATGAAGGGTAGTAAGAATAATCAAGAATTTGAAGATGGTTAAGAGTGTATGCATTCGCGCCATAGTGAACAGTTCTGAACCATATAACCAAATGTCTCTAACAACTGATGCATATTATCTCGAGAACGCCAGTCAGGCATCCTACAACTCTCTACAAGAGTTAGACCAACAGTCAAAGACTTCATAGATTATTACAGTATATTGATTTAACCACTCAAGAATTCTTTTGACCCAATCTTCGGCTAACATTGTGCTCACATCAAGATAGGCAGTGGCTCAGCATGTGCAGAACCTTATCGACTAACTTACCTTCCTAATCTAGTACCCTGAAACTAACGTCAAAGTACTGGCGATATGCTGGTTTTACAACGAGCTAGTGGAATAAAGATGCAATATGCTTCTGCAGTTTCTGACTGCTATTCTTAAGCTTTCTTGTTTCTTCTACTTTTAACGACCATGTATCAGCCATAAAATGGAATGGAAAAGACTGTTGCGCAATATACTGATCCAAAGTGGTGCAATGAAATGGCAACCACGCTTTTTTCCATCTGAGATAATACTATGTTAGTGACCAACCTATTGGAGCTGAAGCGACTTCCTCACTTCCTTACACTATTAGTCGGTGTGGATGAGCTCTGAGGCATAATCGTACATTCGAAAATTGCCCAATGAGAGGAGTAATTGCACATAACAACAGTTGCTGCAACGCTAAGTAGTTTATTTCAACAACTTCGTATTACTGTTCATAATTCTAATTACTAACTTTAGCTAGGATTTTTCTATACTTACAAAATCGTTTGTTTAGTTGCGGGATGAACCACTTTTACTACAAACAGCTTTTAAAGTCTAGTCTTCATCTTGAGTACTACTTCATCAGGAACCTAATGAGTCGTATATTTCATGAGTATTCATTGTAGAGAAAATCAACATTTTTTCCTCCCTGGTCTATTATTTTAGTTCTGGTTTCTTTAAACCGTCATCATTGTACTGACTTTCTGATTCTCTTTTCATCACGAGCCGTGGTAGAATGTGAAGATGCATTGAAAAAAAGAAGCTTAAACTAAAATTGAAATATATCTACTCAGAGAAACCGAAATTCAGAGAGCAAAGAAACTAATAAAACATCTACAAAAGCCTGGACTGCAAATTTATTCACAAACATATGAAAGTGGGTTTAAAAGTCCAACACTAAAAATAGGCCGTTTCATGTCTTACTTTTGCTACGAATTAAGTTTCTCGCAGAAATACAGGAACCCAATTGATTATTTCAGTAGTTGCTAGGGTAGTCATTTAGGCTAATCCAAGCTTTTAATCGGTGTTTACTCTTCCCTATGTTGAACTTAGTGCTTTTTCGCTGCGTTATTGTGTGACAAACTTAGTTTCTAGGTTTAACAACCATTATGTTAAGCTGTACCGTGTGATAGTTGTCATATTAATGAGTTGGTGACTCACCTCTCCATACCTTGTATATCTCATCAAGCGTTCTCGTACATACGATGGCTGAATGCGTCAACATGGTCCTATTGGTTAGTATTGCATGTAGGATATTGATTAACACTCTCCTATGAACATCACCAGCATATGTGTATATCACGGGATTCATAAAATGTTTGACTACTTGACTGCATTTGCTAGTACAACATTACAATTACAATTCTTGTTCTTATTGTCCCAACCTGAGTTTACGAGTTCTAATCAGTACCAACTGTGACTACCAGTTCACACTTCTATTTCGAAAATAGAAATCATCTTTCCAGCCACAAAACAGACATATTAAGTATCATTCAATGTTACAAAAAATAGCTAGAAAAATGTTAACAATAATAGTAATAGTAATGATAGGAAAAAAGAGCCACTATCGACCAATGGATAACAGTAAGCTAAATTTGATTTCTTTAGATACAAAATACATGTACTGTGACATAAAGTTTCTGAACTTCATTTAGGTTGCATACCACATCGTTGAGTAATCTTCAGAGTGAAGAATGAAAGATATTAACTGCGTTCTGACTCTTCATTTTAGTAATTTATGAAAGTCATTAAAAAAAACCCATATTAGCTGCTTCATGATATATTGTAAATACCGATTTAACAATGTAAATATACCAATTAAAAAGATGCATGTGCAATGTGAGGTCAGGTGGTATGTTCCTCAGTGGAACTCAAAAAAATCAGGATTTCAGGTGTGGGAACTTGGACCGTCACCTGTTTAATTTCAGGTTCCATGTCGATGTCGAATGATGAAATGGATATACATACCCGCCTTAGTAGCAGTAATTGAGAGGAAGATAGTTTATTGATGAAAAAAAGTGAAGTCTAACAGACTTTGAAGTTCAGCAATAGAAATCATGAATTAGAACAGAGGTTATTCAACGTTTGTATGGTCTAACCGTGGTACATGTGTGAAGTAGAAAAGTGAACTGGAAGGGATGGTGTACGTGAATATGATATATTAACAGTATAAAAACAAGGTAGACATGCGTTAAATGAAATTGCTGAGAGCTAAGCACTAATATTTTGATGCAATCAGTTATCGCGAAACAGAAAAAAGAAGTGAACGGGTATAGTTTGAGAGGCTTGTAATTAGAAACGAAACAAAATCAGTAGCTACCCTTTACAATGAGACATAACGATTGACTTTGTTGATTGGATAGGTTTGGTGTAGTTATTATAGAAGTAATCACCTCTTTTAATCTAAGCAAGTTAATGCTGTTACGTTTGTTAGTTATCTTGAGCATGTATAAGATTACAAGTTCACGTACTACAACCACTAAGTGTCGCAGAACAGAACTTTACATGTTCTGTCGTTTCTTGATACATGACGGATTAAAATTCGTTTCTCTGTAGTTCTAATGTGCGTGATCTAACAGATACAGGTAATTCGGTTGAAATAATTTAAAGTGATATGAGAAAAATATCTTATAACTCTTGACTATTGCAGTGAACACCTCATGTTAACTTGGATGACGAAGTTCAATGGAGTTTTCAGTGTTTTGACTAATGAAACACAAACCCTTACAATGGGAATACCATACACTCAAGGTTTCCTTTTGTGTTGAACTGACGGCAAATATATCTAGATTCAAATGTGTTCAGTAGGAATCTATATTTCATCATCTTACTTTTACGTGGAACAAACTGATCAACACAGTAAATTCGTTAACGAAAAACTACACTGGAAATTATGTTTCGTAACAACCAATTTAATCTCGATAGGTATTCCGATGATGCTGTCTAGCTCAAGTTACACTAGCATTGCGATTGTATCTGCTAGAACAAGCATATTGAATAGACAATGGAGTACCTTTATTTTAACGACTACTGCAAATTACTTCTACCTCCGTGTATTTTCCAGTCTTTTTAGCCTAAACGAATTTGAAAAGATGCTAAAATACCGTGATTCATGTCATTTGGTTAAACCTGCTATTCTTGCTATATAGTAAACACAAACGATTTATGCTTAAAAGATAGCAACTTTTGAAAAAATCATAAATTAAGAATAATGGGATCAACTGATATATTTGTATACGATTAGATTATTTCCATTACAAGTTATTACCACTGAAAAAATACTAAAAAGAAAAACGCATCAGACAATTTTACTTAAATTAAACGTTACATGTGATAATTATGTTAAACTTTTGGATCATTATATCTTGTTGAGTCAGCTAACATAATCACCTTAAATCAACTCAACGTATCCGCTGCAATTACATATATCTTGCACTAAATGCAACTCAGTAACCATGTGCAGGTTTGTGCACTAGGCAATGAGAGATGCCTATTATTTGAGGGCTAGTAACACTGTCTGTTCGCTCGGACCTCCCCTACGTAGAGCAGAACTCGGACCCAAGACAAAACGAATTCGCCTTGGAAAATACATATACCAAGTTTAATAAGTATCATTTACCCAAAGCGCAAATTATTTTTTAGGCGAGAGCTTTTTTATCAGATCATAAGTATCATCACTAGTTATCATGAAAATTGAAATTTAGGTGTACTATAGACTGATTATTGTGAAAACAATATCCATTTCAAGTTAACGTGGAATTCGGTTACTGTGGAGGTTTTTTACAAAAGGATAAATAAATCAAAAGATAAATGATTAACTCACCTTGTCTATTTCGTTTATGCCTATCAATATGATCCTTTAGTTGGATTCTAATCTGGCGTTCATTTGGTAAATTTGTTATAAATTCATGTCGAAATAATTCTGATGTATTTGGACGTTTATGAAAATCTTTAGTCAAGCATTTATTAACAAAGTCATGAAATCTTGGTGTCCAATGTCGGGAACCATTTGGTGATTGTTTCAATCGAGGTGGAGAATTACGCATAATTAAGAAGAGTGCACGCATAGGATGCATTTCGCATAGTGGTGGTCGACCTTCAGCCATTTCTAAAGCAGTTATACCCAATGACCAAATATCTGAACGTGCATCATATGTACAACTGGAGTCTTGTTCACAGTGTATCACTTCAGGAGCCATCCTATAAGTAAGAAAGTGCACTGATTATATTGCATTAATTATTTATTACTAGTGAGACCAAATTCTTTTAAAATATGAATAACGTATAACGTAAAATTACTCATTAACATAAGAGTAGAAATTAGACACTGCGGTGGAGTACAATCCCATTACAGCTTTGTATTAGGATATCTCACATAGTGAAACAGTATTATTCATTGACGAATTCCCAAGCATAATTTATTGTTCAAAATTACATCGGAGTAATCGCACAACTTTCTGATCTAGATTGTGCAGTTCTACTGTTTGTACTGTACCTAAAATTCACAAACTTAGAATTCTACCTGGTTCTAATTCACATATAGTTGCTTTTCCCTATCGCTCGGTTACAAATGGGTTAGCTGAACTCCATGAAACCATTTAAGAAGGCAGGCCTTCTAACGTTCACTATTTGATATATATATGAATTTGTTGATTGCATTAATTGTTTAAATACTACTGGTAAGACCAAATTTTCCTTAGATGCCTGCTTATTATTTACAAATATCTCACTTAACGAAACAATATGCTTCGTATGTGACTTCGTTGACAACTACGGGGATTCACAATGAGATGCAGTCTGAATATCCAGCTAATTTTCAACAATGAGATCTGTTGAGAGAGGCAGTTGGTGTCGCAGCGGGATCCGTCTATCAGGTCCACTGGATGGTTTCTCCTTAGCAAGTCTGGGAAGTAATAATCTGGCGCAAACTATTGGGAAGCTAGACTCCTACAAGATATATAAGGACAATATGTTTATTATCTGTGATATGTGACACTTAATGACTGCCACCGACTTATTCACTTCTTTGCCGAAGCAAAAACAGATTCTGAAAATTTCTTTTTTTGATACGATAAAACCTGATGGATCGCTGAAGAGACCAATCTAGAGGAAGTCTACGTAGAATGGGCACAACGAATTTCCATAGCTTTTATCCTATGGAATGATAAAGGGCTTTGGATTAGTTCTATCTGACTACATGTTCGGTTGACATGTACAGATGATTGTATAAAGAATGACTTAGAACAATTAAAGCAAAACTTTATCGAAAATGTTTATCTATCACAATTTATGTCATTCTATTTAAGTCCATTTTATTTTGTCACATATCATATCAACTACTTTGAATCCCTAACATCATATCTCATTCTAAATAATCACACTTTTCTAAAATAGTCTTCACTTAGCTACTTTTCGGTAAAATCAAACCATATTCATTCACTCATTCCTTGACCTTTAATCTTGTATATTCTGCAATTGATTGGATGATCCATAAAATAGTATCTTCACTGATAGTAATGCACTTCACAATTCCTCTTTTATTATAAAATGAAAAGCATATATAAACAAATCTGCTTTTCATACTTTGAACTAATTGGTAGTAAAAGTTTTTCCATATGTGCAGAATGAGTGTTGGTTCATTTATAATAAATGTATCAGTTGTAGATTCAATCTATCTCTTCACCTACTCAAGTTATTTCCCTATATTATCACTATACGCACATTTTAATAACAATTCAATCAAAGGTAGAAAAACAGTATAACTATAAAATCTAGTTCAGAAATTTATGCGATTACCTTGATATGATTATAAGTAAAAATTTATGCATGAAACATAATCAGTAAATAATACTGTTTGTCTGTATGATAGTTACAAAAAGACAACTATAATGGAATGGAAGTAATCACTTTCTAACTAACGAAATAGTTTTAAAACAATTAAGATACTAGGACCTTAAAAAACACAACCTTCAATAAACAATCAAATACACGTTAGCATATAATGAAGTCGATAATATCATTCATGAGCCAGTTAGGGATACATTGTCAGACACCTTAATTAGTATCTTTCGAATTCTTTTACAATGATTCAAATGCATGTTAGTTGGTTGAAAGCAATCAGCAGGAAGCCCTGGACCTAGGTTCCGTGCTTTTTGGCACTCGTCAGTAAGGCGCATCTGCAACCTTGACGGGACTGATGTCCTGCCTGAGATTCGAATCCGCGTCATCCAGTGTTGTAGTCAGCGAGTCAGACAGGACATCAGTTCCTTCAAGGTTGCAGATGTGCCTCGCTGACGAGTGCCAAGAAGCACGAAACCTAGGTCCAGGACTTTCTGCTCATTGCCTTCAACCAACTTACATCTACTAATGTGCACCGCGATGCTGAGCTTCCTAGCT